ATATAAAGAGTAGAGCAATGTGCTGAGCTTTATGATGCACGCGAGATTGACGCAAGGCCATTATACCGGCAATATTGCGTAACCTGTGGCACCGTGTATCAAATTACCTACTCCTACTAGACAATTCGCGGATACTATATCACGAGGACATATTTTTTATTGAATTAATGACTTTTAAATCTCTGAAGATTCAATGCAAGATGGTTCTTTAACTTCTTCATTTATTCTTCCTACTTCCTATTTCACTTATAGCCATTGTAATAACTTTATTGCCACTGGTGGTCATAATTACATATTTGAGCTGATTCTATCTTTTATAGGTATTTATGTTTAAGAATTGTTTTACTTGTAGTAATTAATTTCACCTTATAAAGTGGATACTTTTTTATTGGAATGACGTTTTTTTTTTTTTTCATGTTTGCGTGCTATTTTTTATCACTGTTCTGTTTATTGGTGATGAAGAAGAGTTCTTTGCGAACTCAACTTGTTCATGTTGGTGAAATAATTGCTCAAGAGAATCGCTAGCAATTACTTTTTATTGTTTTTGAGTTAGAGGAGATGAAACGAGAAGGGATATTGGCTTTAAAGTTTCTCAAATTTGTATTAATCTTTTTGTTTAAAGATTTTTAAAATTTATATTTATTGCATAAAATAGAGAGAAATTAATTTTTTTAAAATCATTTTACTCAATATTATGAATTATTTATATGAATTTTGATAATGAAAAATATTTTATTGATTTAAATTTATGAATATTTATAGAAATAATCATTTTTAGTCAACATTCATAGTCAAGAAAAATAAATTACTTTGAAAAAGTTTCAATTTTTTTTAACAATCATGTCATAATTTTCTATCACTTCATTATTTAATGGCTAAAATGCGAAAAAAAATCAATACAAAACATTCTTTTTATTTTATTTCTGTATTTATTGAAATTATTGGGGATGTGAAGTAGACCAGTAAACGGATGAATCATAAAAATTATGAAAAGGAGAGAAATTATGATGTACTCTAATATTTTTTGATCTTTAAAGTAAGATTTTATAATTGAATCATTATGATTATTAATTTTTTATCAATTTGTAATTTAAAAATTTTATTATTTAATATTAAATTATCCTAAAATTTCTAATTTTATATTACTTTCCAATTTATATTTTTCATTCATTAACTAAAATTTTCCGAATAATTTCCAATTTTATTCAATAATATTGCTAAAAAAAAAATATTTCTGCTCATCAATAGTTTGATTAAATAGAACTCAAGTTTTGTAAATTCACAAATGCGAATGAAATCTTAGGGCCTGTTAAATTATTTATAAACATTAGGAATGATAAAAAAAACTCCCCCTGAATATCGCCAACCTCCCCTATCAATTTTTTTACCTCGTTATTTATCAGATAAAAATCGATTTATTTGACTTTAAAGACTTGGACTTGGCTAGACCATTTTTTAAAAAAATAAATAGACAAATTACAAAAAAAAGTCTCTTTACCGCAATTTTCCTGAAAAATACGGAAATATATCGGTTAAAAAATTGCACCAAAAATACGGTAAAAATCCAGTAGAAAGATGTTACCAATAATTTACCGTAATTTTACTGGAAATATTTATTGATAAATTGCTTTTATTTTTTGCTATCAATGCCATTATTAATTGGCTAAACAATAATAAAGATATTTTTAAGTAATAAATTTGTCAATTAATGCCAATTGTTTATGGATCCACCCCTGGTATCATTTTGACGATATTTTTCGATAAACGATTCGCAATGGAAATAAAATAAAAAATATTAAACAGAAATATTAGATGATTGAAACAAAGCAAAATAAAAGAATAGAAATTTTTACGAGATATAATCGTTTTATTGCTATAGGGTTTTTTTAACGACATTTATCTAATCTTGAACTGATCAACGCCATAAAAACATCCACTATTTTGTATAGGGGAAACTCCGGTAATATCTTCCGACCTACCACTTTTCTAAGGGGAAATACATAACGGATTTAATAGAAAAAAAATATGCTCATCAATCAACCTTCAACTGTTTTTATTTTTTTTTTTTTATACACAAAAATTTTTATTTAATATTTTTTATGTTTTCAACGTAAATACATTGTAAAGTAGTATTTAAATTTGCTAAATTAATTAACGAGTTTAACTGTGACTACTAAATAAGTCATAATGGGATTAATTATTGAGGTAATTGGATTATGGTAATTGTCTATTCTTTTTTTTTAAATGATAATGATTATTATTATTATTATTATTATTGAGTTAAAAAAAATTTTTTTTTATTTAAAAATAAAGTAACTATAGTTGAAAAGAGGATATTAATAGAGTTATAATAAAAAATATCTTAGATTTATTTTTTATTTTTTTTTTATCGCACAGTAGATCATTAATAAACGTTAATGGAAATCAATTTGTCGAGAATTTATCTCTCGTTAGCACTCAAGACTTCTTTTAATTACTTTTAAGTCATTTCGAGATCGACGGTTTTGTTAAAATACAGTCACAGTCAAAAGTAAAGTAATAAAAAAATTCTTTTAATGAAACAATTTAATATAAATAGAAGTTAATTGTCTACTTTTTAATTAGTCAAAGTATCTTTTTTTTTTATGAAAAATCAAATTAGCAATTAATTGTTAATAAATTTTTTTTAACTTTAGTAATTAAGAAAGATTTGATTAAAAAAAGAAATAAAAATTATTTTTTAGTAAAAATAAGAGTCTTTTAAGCTTGTAAAAAAAAGGGGTATTTTATCAACCGCAGTACAAAATAGGAAAAAAAAAGGAACAAAAAGAAACAGGGAGAAATTTTGTAAGGATTCAATCAGTAGTATATACGTTGAAGAAAACCGATTTATTGTGTAAATAGAGTAGATGCAATTCTTGTGGTTGGGGTTAAGTAAATGTTGATATTTTAAGTATAATTAAATGATTATTTTAATTCTATTTATAATATTTTGATTCAACAATTATTTTAATTTTTTTATTGTTGGTAGCAATCATAACTTTAATGACTTATAAAATATTACTTTGTTTTTATTTTTCTTTGTTCATATTTTTCCTATGATTGGAATACTTGAATGCGAAAATTTTATGCTCTGCAAGATGCAAATATTGAAGTATCTCTGTTGTTAGAGAAGATATTAAATATTAAAGTGATACAAAGTGTTCATAGTATTGTTTAAAAAATAAAACTGCTTATTATTAATATCATTAATAATTTATTTTCATGATTAATCTTTATATTTCAAATTTTCAAACTTTTATTTAAATAACACAGTGTTATAATTCATTATTTATTCAAATTTAGAGTTCATTCCTTTATTAATATCATGTAAACATTATTCTTATAAAAATAATACTCATTGAGTTTTATTAAAAATTAATTAAATAAAGGTACCATTTTCTATTTGTTACTGTAAATAAAAGAAACATCTAATAAATTTTTTTGTCTGTAACAAATATTTACTTTTCACTACTTGACAGAAAATGTGAGTTCAATGTTAAAGTTCAGTTTTTTTCAGAAGAATTATCTCATTAGATAACTCTAGAAATAAATAAATTAATTAATCTATGTCGTGATAATAAATTTTTATATATCTTTTTTTTTCATCTATAAATATTTTATCAATCGATAATAGACTGTTTTATAAGTGATATGTATTTATAGAAAAAAATATATATTATTTCATTCATACTCTGTAGTAATGAAAATGACTATAATTAATTATTCATGTAAAATGTAATTCTATCAATTATAATAGAGAAATATATGTATTACTATGTAGTTATTATAAATGATGATATACAAATGGAAAATTATTATTCCTTTCTCTGTTGTTTTACTTCAAAAAGCCTAGGGAAAAATAACAATTAATTCCATTGTTTACCTTTAGTTACTTTTCACTATAGTACATACAGAAAAACAATACATTTTTTTTTTCCAGTACTAATAAAAAGTTATGATTCAATTGTTGTCAATCAGTAGTAAGAATTTATTTATAAATAATTAAATAAAAAAAATTGATTAATAATTAGTGATATTTTTTTAGGTTGAAATTTATTAAAATATTTTTTATTCTAAAAGGAATAATTTCTAGGGATATTTACATTTATTAATAATAAATATCTTTTATGATATCTACTCACTATATTGAAATTTTATCAATTTTCGATTTTAGAATGCATTAAAAATGCCAATATAACTTCAGAAAATAAATCTATAGTTCTTGGGTGAGCTCATAAATGTCTTTGAGGTCAAAAATTTCAAGCTAAAATTTATAATAAATATAACATAGTGTATTTTTAATTAAAAACATTTTTTTTTCATCAATTAATCACCATTAAACTCCTTAAAAATATTTTAAATCGTAATATAAAAATTCTAGGGTCAATAAATCTTATTTTATGTAACCTAAAATTTATTTAACACTAGAAATTATCTTTTCTTTTATTCCAAGTCAGTTAAAAATCAGATAAAAATTATTCAACATTTTTCTTTCATATAAAACACTTTGATTGACTTTAAAAAAAAAAATCTCCTGTAAAATTTGACTTAATGTCAGTCTTTTATTGGTGCTCAAAGTGTTGTGCACAAATGGTACAGTACTCTAGTCTTGAAAAAAAAAGATGCAAGCTCTTGAAATAATCAATATATCACCCAAGAGATATTATGCTGAAATGGTGGAAAGATAAATAATTCCTCGTTATAATGAAGTATCGTTTAGTTTGAAGGAGAGAAGTAGGAGAGTTGTCAGTAGCTCAGTAGCACAGATCAGTTCTTGAGTCAGTGGTTCTCATATGGTAACAAAATAAAATCACATAGTGGTATCAAGTTGTATCCGTTTAGATACATTGATGACAGTGAGCTTGCACGACAGTGGCGCCACCACATAGATAGAGTATTGCTTATGGAGAAGAAATAACAGGGGTTACGTTTTCCCCTCTTCTTTTTAACGTGTGCACAGTCTCAAGCTCATCGGTGAGTGGACTTGCAGCAGTGTCGGGAGAGTGCGGGGTGCGCAAGCTACTTGGCTCCCTGTCAACCGGCGAGAATCGAAGAGGTGTGGTGTGGTGGAGAGAAAAGGGATTGAAGCTTGCGCAGTGACTTGAAGCCGACGGCCGTACGGGTAATACTTTTAAGTGGGGGAACCCAAGTTGAGACGGGTCGATGATGCCGGCACGGTCCGACGAGGCCGCCGCGTTAACCGTCAGTCAGTCTCTGGTCCACCCGAAGCCGCGACGCTAAACGCTTCTTTCACATCGAAATTATCGCCGTACGCCGCAGCCATGGGTGACGACAAGGTTTGTGACAACTCGATCAAATGAAAGAGAGAGAAAGAGAAAATTCAACCTCGGAATTTTTTTTAAAAAAAAGAAAAACAATTATTCAATAACGTTGTTAACTCCATTTTTATTTGTAATTATTTTTTTCATTCAATCAACAATACTTGGATTTATTTTTATTTTATTAAATCAGGATTGTTGGTTGGGGAATAATGAACAACAAAAAAAAATATCAATTGTCGAATATTTTAACCAATTGGAGATTATTTGCGTGAGAGTGAAGAGTGTGCGCGTAGACTAGAAGGAATTGACATAGAAAAATTTTTAGTTAATCATTGTTAATATCTTGTTTTTTTTTTCTCTCTAATTTATTGTCTTGTTCTCTCTCTTCATCTCCATCGGGATTCGATGTTATCCTGTTTAAAAGAAAAAAAAAGTGATTGGTGTTTTTTTTTGGGGGGGAGGAGAGAGGAAAGAACAAAAGAGGGCAAAAATAATAATTATTAAAGAAGAGTAAAATTCATTATAAAGATGGAATAAGGAGAAACGAAGAGAAAGAACAGGTCAGCAAGAAGGGCGGGGGTGGGATGTATTGAGGAAGGGGGAGTGGACGGTGTCTGTGGGACTACTGGTAAAGAGGAGCTTCGATCGAGGGTTGAAACGAAAGAGTGGGAGCAAGAGATAGAGAAAAAGAAGTGAAAATATATAAAAAAAAGCTTCTTATTGTACAATTATATTTCTTTTAATTCAATTTTAATCTTGAATTATTCTTTTTTTTTCTTGCTCACACTGAATATATTTTCAACCCCTTGGAATAATCTCAGAGTGCTTCGCAGTGATCGTCGGACATCAGTGCTCGATACACTACTTCCGGTCGTGGATAAGAAGAGGTTGAGAGAAAGAGAGAAAGAAAAAAAAAGCGTGCGTGTGAGTGACAAAAAAAAAAAGCTTATTCAAGACAGAGGGAAGTGCTTTGACGGTCGACTATACGACGAGTCACTTCACTTGAAAAATAGTCCAAAATATTAAATTATAATTAATCTTAACGAAAAGTAAAAAAAAAAAGCAAGAAGATTATCTACTTCTTCTCAACCGTTAATTCGTCGTTAAATTAAACATGGTAATGAATACTTTTTTGAAATAAAAAAAAAAAAATTTAGATGTCATTGCTAGAGTTTCCTAGCTTTCCTAGATTTAATTTTATTTATATAATTAAAAACAAATTACTGCGCCTTTTTCAATTATTTTGCACGCGCAGATTGATTTTTTTAAACAATTTTCGCCTTTTATTACTTCCTCTGTAGTTGCATACGTAGTCCAAGTTACGTTGATAGACACAGATGCCATTTTATGCTAGGCGATCAAGTGCATGATGAATTAGAGTTTCAATTTAACTAAAAGTGTCGTGGGATTTAAAGATTCTTCTGTGATGATTTTTGCTTTTGGAACTAACTCTTTAACATGAAGTTTTTTTATTTAAAAAAAAAACAAAGCATTTAATAAGCTGGAATAATTATTTATCCAACGACATTTAATAATCCTAGATCATGTCATGATGAGAATCCCTAAATTCGCTTAAAGCTGTAGTACCAGATGATGGCCTGTATTGCTAGCCTGGTCAGCTGGTATCGAAAAAATCCTGGCTCCAGTTGTTGGGCGATGTAGGAAGTAGTTACTGCGCAAGGCAAATGCAAACTCGTGCAGAAAAATAGACTTCTCCATCGTGATTTTGTTCAAGTTGATGAAGACAACCTATTTGTAGAGTTTGATACTGCTAGATATGCTACCTTGATGATAAAATATTCCTGCAAATGAATTTTATTTGATAGAAAAATATCATCTTTCAGCATCACATCATTGATGATGATGATGATGATGACTCCAAGTCTAAATCTTGGTGATTTTGTGATTGTTGAGGAAGTAGCAGGAGAGAGAGAGAATCATACATACGCATACTAGTCTCCATCAATCGTTACGTCCCGGCTGGCCATGCGTTTCGTGACGTTCCATCAAGGCCGGACACGTCAATTGATAAGGTCGTTCCTTTTAAGTCCCTTGTGGTACCCGACGTTTTCCATTCATTGAAATCTCACCGCGCCTCAGTCGAGAGCTTCATTTCTGCCTTCTTTTTCCGCTATGTAATTATTCTAATTAGCTAATAAATACCTTTACAATTGTTATCATTCAAAAAATATTACTTACCATTAGAAATCTTTGATGTTTTTATCAATCATATTTTTCTTTCAAAATATCACGCACACGTAAAACAAAATAAAACAAGAAAACTTCAGGTTTTTTTCATGGTTAATTTGATAACATTATCAGTATCTTCAATGTTGAGATTAATTTGTTTCATCATAGCTATCAATGATGTCGGTAATAGACAATGGTGATAGTGATAATGTTTAATGACATTTTTCATCAAATACTCATCCATTTGAATCAACTTCAATTCGTGATTTCTATTCTTTTTCTCTTTTTTTGTCTTTTATTTGAGGTTATGCTCATGGATAATCTGGTTATCTTGATTGCATTTAGCAGCAGAGGGTCAAAGTCGTCAAGAAGTTAATAATAATAATGATGAAGGAGGAGAAAAAAAGTGTATATTGTCACACTTATATTGAGGGGTTAGTAACAGGGAAACGCACAGGTATAATATAAAGGGTCGTGAACTAGATGGCGCCTGGAGCAGTCAGCCTTCTGGGCGTCTATCGATCGTAACCTATTTATAATTCATCTTAACATTTTGATTTTCATGATACATTTCTTGAATTTTGTTATCTTATGTCTTATTGAAATTATCAAAAGTATCCAATACTTGACCAAGATCATCATTTGATTATATTTATCACTTATGATAATTGATAATTAGAATAATATTTAAATATTTTCATAGTCTCAGTTTTTATTGACATGACACTACTTAACGGTGAGTTGCGTGTTTAAAAAGTTGTCAAAACAATCTAATAATGACTTGTAATTGAATAATTGATGACATTCTTGTTTGTTCAATCTATTTTAGAATTACACACGTCATTGTACCTTAATCGATTGAAATTTATTCTTGGGGTGTACAGAATAAAAAAAAAAAAAGTACCTTTTTATTTATTTATTTGGAGAAGAAAAATTCATTGATGATGGATGGAATGGTGAATAAGAATGATTTGAGCCTATAATTATAAGGGAGTTGAGCTTTAATTATTTCTTTGAAAGACTTCTGCTTGTGCATTTATAAGTCTTCGATAGAAACGACACTTTTGTGTCACCCTAAGTCATCTTCAACCTCGGTCATTGGCCCACACAAGGTATACTTTAACTTCAGATTCAACTAGATATAGTAGTTATGACTGGTTTTTATCAGGAATATGTATTTATATTATTAAACAACTTGAATACTATCTTTTCATAATTTTTTTCAAAGCAGATATATCCTGATTTTTGTTCACGTCATGTTCATTTCCGTTTTGGATCAAGTCACTAAAGGAAATGTAACCAGAACTTTTTGGATTTAGGATTTTACTGTTAGATTTAATTGAATCATTGGTATTACCTATGATAATTCACATGTGTTTGGTGTTGTTATCATCTTTTTTCTTGAATGTTTATGATAAAAAGAGATTAGGAGAATGTAAACTGACTTAAACTGGTGCAAACTGATCTACATTAAATTCTTTGGAATTTATTAGTATATATCTACTGTTCGATTCAGCTACGTGTTAGCTTTTGTTATTCATAAATCTCTTTTGTTAACTCCTCCACCTAATCATGCACCCATTGTGTCCAAGAGATAGTTGACTTTACTCTGACACTACTTGGCAAGTGTTCAAATCGTTCAAGTTCTTCATTGCGATGCATTTTACCGTACAAATTTGGAATTGGGATTGAAGATCAATATGGAACTGGCTTATGCTGGTGGAATATTGATCAACATTTTATTGATTTAATAAGTTTTTTTGTGATTATTTTTGTCAAGTCTTTTTATATCCAATTTGACCAAATATTCTTCTATAAACAATTCTTATTCTCAATTTTTATTTAAATATTAATATTTAAAAATAAATATTAAACATAATTAAACTTAACAAAGTAATAAATCTTTTATTTTAATTCATTGAAAGATTTATTTCAATTAAATAAACAACAATAAATCTATCTATCTATGGCAGATAGATGTTTGAATAAGTTTTATTTAATTCAAACCAAAAAAAAATTTAATTTATTAAGAATATTTTCAAATATTTATTTAAAAAAGTATGTTGTCTCTTATTAGAGCAAACAAATATTAAAAATAAAATGGGAAATTAAAATGAATGTTGAGTTTTTGTTTTTATTCTCTAAACGATTGAATTACAATGTGAAAATTCTCACATCAATGAAAAACCTCAACATGAACAAAATTATTATCATTTGAGGATGTTAGCTAATCACAAAAGTTTTTCAACACAATAAAAAAAAAATAAATAAAATACATCAAAAACATTGATAACAATGATTGGATATGACCTAAAGACTCTGACATAATTCCATTTTCGATTGTTTAACTTCGTACCATCACGGTAGTGATGGCTTTAAACGACCAATCTCCCTCTTGATCCAATTCGTAAATCGTCCTGCTGCTCTAGTGTACACAGCAAAGAACAAGAGAGAGAGAGAGAGAGTGAGAATGAGAAAGATACACTAAGCCTTGTCTCTCTCTCTCTTTCTCTCGCTTTATCGAAAAAGATAGAACAAGTGGGGAAGCACAATGACGCAGAGTGCACGTGACGAGTGACGTTGTACGTCAGCTAACGTAAATTGAGAACAAAATACCTATGCATAAAGCTGATGCTTTTACAACATACTAAACTCAACTTTAAAATCTGATGATATAAATTTAATAATAAACTAAAATAAAAAATCAGTTGAACAAACAATGATTGTGGGTAATAAAGGAAACATTTGTAACAAATGGACGTTTCAAAAAAGCTCATAGAAACATGACGACCTTTTGCGTGCATCAAAGCAGTAAGGAAAGCTTCTTGCTTCGAAACAATACTTCCTTCAATCGATTTAACTATTATATTATCTACTCCATTAATTACGTTTTATGCTTCAGTAAATGTTTACACTGGTTTAAAAGTTAGCATAAAAAATAGATTGCATAAGATAGCATAGGTTGTTGTCTTTTTGAAGAAAATGATAATATTAAAAGTAAAGAAATATTAAAGGGATGTTGGAGAATTTGAATAATTAAATAAAACACATCAATGTTCTTTTGATTAAATCCTCACACGCAAAGCAACACTAAGGAACCATTATTCTAATGCTAAGTTGGTGGATTATGACTGGTGATCATTAGAGCTTGATACTGACAAGAATAAGGGTTACATAACGAGAACTATGCCCGCAAACGGGGTTTCTATATAGTGGTGTTGAAAGACTATACAGTATACACAATAGCAGCATGAAAGAGGTGGGGTAAATCTGGCGCCATAGGGATGCGACGACAGTCTGCCACCGAGGGGTAAGAATTGCTCACAAGAATATGCAGCGCCTCTGAACGGCCAAGTTTGCTGGCCTGGTTGCGTATTGATCCATGAATCTAGCCCACCAACAGCGGGGGTGCTTACTTGGGTCAGGGGTGCCACTTTTATTGCACATGCGCGTAAATTCATCGACCCGAAATCGGTTTATTAAATACCTTCGAAATTCTTTGAGTTCAATTTTTTGAGGTTTTTTTTTTTATGTTTAAGGATTGATTTTATGGAAGGTACTCATCAACATCTTGGAATCATATCATTCTTTTGACTCTTTAAAGCTGGGAAAACTTTTTATAAAAAATCTTTTTCTTCACTTTATAACCTCTTTTTTTTTACCATTTTTGATAGTTTGTTTAGGTTTGACTTTAAATTAAATTGTTTTTTTAAATAAAACTATAACAGTGGAATTTTTTGTAGGTTATGTAATTTTGTATTCTAAAGATGTCAATATTTGAATCTTATATTTAATTTCAGAGATTTTAAGTTCCTTTTTTTTGTTCTAGAAAGGAAAAAAAATATGTTACATTAAACAATTATTTGTAAAAATATTTATAAATAATTGTTTAATAAAATAAAAATATCAGTGTTAAAAATGTCGAGTAAACAACTGCAATAATTGAAGACTAAACTTTTAAGTAGAATAATTTTTTTTATGTCCTAATAATTTTAATAGCTGGAATAAATGTACAGCATTTGAAAAAATGCTGGTTAAAAACATCATGTTTATTTAAGTATAATTCTTTTTTTTTTTTTATTACAATTACAGAAGTAATCATTTAAAAAGCTACTTCTAGTTTTACTCTACCCTTAATTACTTTATAAAACATTAATGAATTTAAAAACAGTCATTATAACAAATTTACTCGTTTTTTTTTTTTTTTTTAATTAACAAAATACATTTAGCTTATTTCTCATTATTTTTTATATAAAAACCAGTTAAAAAATATTATTACATAATTACTGAAATGAATAATTTAAATATTTAATAATTCACTTGAATTTTTGGTGTTTTAGGGTCAATTAAATCATTCTAAAAAAAAAAAAAAAATGTTCAATAAAGTAAAAAAATTTTAAATAGATCCATTAGTGAATTATTAGACAAAAATGTAACAGTTTATAAATATCTAAAGATAAAAAACTTTACCAAGGAACTTTATTTTTAGTAATCCACTTTTCAAATTGGGTATTCCATAACTCTTATTAAATCTGTTCATGAATAAAAAAATCTATCTTATTAAAATATGTATGAATACATATATTAAATTATATATCACTTATATCTTGAAAAGAATATTTACTACTAAAATAATAACTCATCTCTATTCTATTTTTTTTATCAAAAATATATTATCCACTCCATAACATCTAATCCACCATTTTTATTTACAACATGATGTAATACATTGTTATTACTATTTTATTATTCTTACATCTTTTTTTTTAATCAAAATTATTTATAGAATGATATATTTAAACTTTAGTCTTTTATTCAAATGACAATCCAGTATGTTGCATGCAACAACAAAAGTTCATTCAATTCATCAGATTTTAATTTTCCTACATATTACAACATCGACAATTGATTCATGAAATCCGATTAAAATAAACAGAATAGATATGAATAAAAATATTCAAACTCTGATCTTCCATTTCTAGTGAAAATGATAAATTCAAGTAAATAACAAATTGGCTTTTAAACTTATTTTGATACTCTAGTAGGTGCTATTATTTATTAAATTAAAACAAAAAAAATGATAAATATGTTTAAAACAATTTAAATTTTATAACAAACCTAAATTAACAAACTTTTAAATTGATTAAACTAAAACTGCTGTTTTATTTCAACAAAAAATAAGAGAAAAAGTATTTTTATTTTAGGAAGTACCATTGAAAAGGTGAAAGGTTGATGAGAACATTCGACTTCTGGTATCTGAATAAAAAACTCGAGTTATTTAAATTTATTTTACTCTCAAGTTATACCACAACATCACTATCTCACATTTTTTTTCATCATTAAACTTATCTATTGTTTAAAATTTCTTTGAAAGTATCTTCTTTTATTATTCAACTAGACAAGTAAAAGTACATCTTTTTTCACCTGAAAAATAATGATTGGATTTAAATGGATGAAATAAAATCTGTAAAATGATAACGAGAATCAATTGACAAGAAGAAACAAAAGTAAAGTCTCAACAGTGGTTTGAAAATAATTAAAAGTCATCACGACAATCTAATACGAGTCATTGATCTAACGTCACCTAATAATCATTCTGACTTATCACGAACCTCTGACACTGTTACTACTCTTCCCACGCGATATTTCTTGTAGACATGAGTCATTGTGATCACGTGATAAATGAGAATCTCCAGAAAAATATGTGGCTGACTAAACCGACATATTTACTACTTCTCTACACTTTAACCTTAATGAATACTTACATAATATCTTTCAAGTCTGACTTGACCAAATGGTGTGACTACTTGACGACTCATCAGTAGAAAATTGTCACTAATGAGTCCAAGGGTCATGACGTGATAGCTACTGATGGCAGTGATGGTGCTGACGTAGACAAAAATTAATGAAAATCGATGTTGAAGCAAGTTTGAATACTTTCACAATAGCATTCACACATTATCACAATTGTTGTTCTCCTAAGCTCTATTGACCATTCACTATATACCTCTGACGTTAAAGCCTTTTAAAATTGTTAAACGGAAGTGCCTGGTTATTCAATGGTACCTCAAGGTCGCACTTGAAACTACAAAATGATGTATAGGAGTGCCGATGGTCAAACTGAACCTTGGTTTATTTAATAAACAGAATATTTATATTATTTGTCTTATTTTAACATCAACTCTGGTCAGTATCTTTATCAAGCCAGGGATCAAGTTGCTGGAGGATTGATAATTCTAGTGCTTCCTTGATAGCTTTATCTCAGGAATTCAAGTCAGCATATTTGATGTAAAAAATAAACAATTGATTCAGAAATATAGTTGCTAATTAGCTAAGTTGATCATCAACATTCTGAAAAAAGTTTCATCAAATATTTGGAGCAACAGCCAGGATGATCAATAAATCAATAATGAGTTTTAGGATGTGAATTATAAAGAGATAAGTAGATGCATTTTTTAAAATAAATTGAAAAAAACTAGTGAACTGAAAACAATTGGAAAAAGCTTATCAAGTACTTCAAAGCTCTTCCAAATGGACTATTCCTGATCTATCTTCATGTTGGAAGTTTATTATCATTTTTTTCCCATCAAAAACTGAGAGGAATTTTTTGATACTTGGAATTATAAATTATCCAGTTGATGGAAATGATGACCTTAATTTCTAAAAAAAAATCGGATTTTTTATTGTTTAGTTGATAAAAATTCAAGTTTGATAATCAATATTCTATTACATCAGATCATATCATCCAGCCCTAGTCATGACTTTTTTTTTGTTAACGATTTTATTTTTTTATCACCATATCTCATCAATTCATTTATTTTTTTTTAATTGATTTTTTACAGCATGGCCGCACAGATTCATATAGAGTCGCTACGTTACCAAACATTCGCGATGACAACAAAACTGCTGATGGAATGTATAAGGTACACAAACACATGGATACATGGAATTCATCTCTTGACACTTGATCAATACTTTTTTTGTGATACTGGTGAAAGGATATCAATTGAAGTTGAAGGCATTTCTATGAATAAAAATGACATTTGTCAATATATATATAATAAAAAATCAGGAGGAAAATTTTTTCAAAAGCTTCTATAATCTTTTGAAAAAAAATAAAAGTCAGGGAAAAAAAAAATTCACTCTAACTCTTCACATTCTACTCTTCAGCAACCTCTAACCTTTTCTCGCTATAACTTGAACTTGTTTCTTTCCATTTTAATGAGGTATAAATTTCAATTGGGACAAAAATGGAAAAAATTCTTCACTCTTTGCTTCTTAATATAAAACTATTTCTGCATTATTTCTGCTATTCTTTCTTGTATTTCAGTATATTATACAACAATCTAATTTTAGGGATGAATTAACACTTTGTCTGCCCTTTTCTAGTCTGACCCTCTTTTGACCTATCACGCTCAATGAACAACTAACAAACACCTTCCAACCATACTTACATTGTCGTTTCTGCTGGGTTTTTTCTATTATCTTGGTGATAATCCGCCTTGTTTTATTGTGTTATTGTTGAATAAACTATTTCTCAAGTCTTTTTCACAAATATCACACACTGGAAAATCGTCAATTTAACACTCTTCACTGGTATTAAATTTACATCAACAAGAAATTAAAATAAAAGTTAAAAAAAAAAAAAAATCTCCCTTCAACCAAGCTTTTATGTCAAATGTTTTATTCACTAATATTCCATTTAATTCCAGGCTTTTACCAACTCATTAGCTGTATTTTATTTTCAATTTAATTCAAAAATATTTCGTATTATGCCAGAAAATAATACTAGAGCATGAATAAGATGTAAATAAGAAATATTTATAATAAATTAATTTTTAAAACAAATTATTTTAGAAATATTCCACTGGTGCAAAGACGATCGTGAGATCTTGATGATGACTGAAAGTGTAGCCAAGAACAAGTGATGTTCACTCAACTCGTTTTAATTAAGAAGTTAATAAGTACAATGACTTATTAATTTGTATCTGACTAACGGAACTCTAGTATTGGCCACTCAACTCAGTCTCACAGAAAGCTACCAATTGATATAATTTTCATATTCTTTTATTTGCTGTTGCTGATGATGCTGTTGAGACAATTAAATAAAATTGCTTCGACCTTTTTTTTTCTTCCTTCCTTTACTTGCTTTAGCTAGAATTAATTCTTTTTGTTTGGTTTGTAAACAGTCGCGGCGAAAGAATCCAAAGAAAAAGGGAGACAATTTGGATGATTTGAAGCAGGAGTTGGATATTGATTTTCATAAAATCACTCCTGAAGAGCTTTACCAGAGATTTCAGACTCATCCGGAAAATGTAAGTAAATTGTGGATGTTAAATTATTGATGTTGAGGGACCTCTATATAAATCAAGTTAATCTAGTGTATGTTATAAAAAAGACTTACAAAAATTTGTGAAAATAACTGTCATTTTTCTTTATTAAGTTGAAAAAATATTTACTGAAAAAAATTTTGATAATTTTTTAAATAGTTTTCTCATTGGGATAATTAATCTCAGTAAAATGTTGGAGCAAGTACTCCAAGCTTCTTTGAAATACAGCTAGTTTTTTTTGTAAAAAAAAAAGTATATTTATCACTGAAAAGAGATGGTAGAGATTTATAGAGATTACCTTGGATACACATCAGAGGTCTCTCAATCTTCATAATAACTTTTAAAAAAACATCAGCATAAAAATAATGATTTGTATATTTATTTTTTCAGGGCCTTAGCCATGCGAAAGCGAAAGAGAATCTGTTGAGGGATGGTCCAAATGCATTGACGCCTCCAAAACAGACACCGGAATGGGTCAAATTCTGTAAAAATTTATTCGGAGGTTTCGCTTTGTTGTTGTGGATTGGTGCATTCCTTTGCTTTATTGCATATGGTATCCAAGCGTCGACGAGTGAAGACCCCAACGATGACAATCTCTACCTCGGTATTGTACTTGCCGCCGTAGTTATCGTGACGGGTATTTTCTCATATTACCAGGAAAGTAAATCAAGTAAAATAATGGAGTCGTTCAAGAACATGGTTCCACAATTCGCAACAGTATTGAGAGAGGGTGAAAAAACGACTCTTAGAGCTGAAGATTTAGTGCTTGGTGACGTTGTCGAAGTTAAATTCGGTGATCGTATACCAGCTGATATTAGAATCATTGAATCACGAGGCTTTAAAGTAGATAACAGTTCGCTTACCGGTGAATCTGAACCCCAATCGAGATCACCTGAATTTACCCACGAAAATCCCCTTGAAACCAAAAATCTAGCATTCTTTTCTACTAATGCAGTAGAAGGCACAGCTAAAGGCGTAGTAATTTGCACTGGTGACAATACTGTAATGGGTAGAATTGCAGGTCTAGCATCAGGATTGGATACTGGAGAGACGCCGATTGCCAAGGAAATTCATCATTTTATTCATCTTATTACTGGTGTAGCTGTATTCCTTGGAGTAACCTTCTTTCTCATTGCTTTTATCCTTGGTTACCATTGGCTTGATGCTGTCATTTTCCTGATTGGTATTATTGTCGCTAATGTACCTGAAGGTCTTCTAGCTACAGTGACAGTATGTCTGACATTAACTGCCAAGAGAATGGCCTCTAAAAACTGCCTTGTTAAAAATCTCGAAGCTGTTGAGACTTTAGGATCCACCTCGACCATTTGTTCGGATAAGACAGGAACCCTGACACAAAATAGAATGACTGTCGCCCATATGTGGTTTGACAATCAGATAATTGAAGCCGACACAACGGAGAACCAGTCTGGTGTGCAGTACGATCGCACGAGTCCTGGATTTAAGGCCCTCGCCAGGATCGCCGCTCTATGCAACCGAGCCGAGTTCAAGCCAGGCCAAGAAGGTGAGCCGATTCTCCAACGAGAAGTTAACGGCGACGCCTCTGAGGCTGCACTTCTCAAGTGTATGGAACTGGCACTCGGCGATGTTATGGGTATTAGAAAGAAGAATAAAAAAGTTTGTGAAATTCCTTTCAATTCAACCAACAAATTCCAAGTTTCCATTCATGAAACTGAGGATCCTAATGATCCACGTTATTTGCTTGTTATGAAAGGTGCCCCTGAAAGAATCCTCGAAAGATGTTCAACCATCTTTATTGGAGGCAAAGAAAAAGTCCTTGATGAAGAAATGAAAGAAGCTTTTAATAATGCATATCTTGAACTTGGCGGTCTTGGCGAGCGGGTTCTCGGATTCTGTGACTTCGTTCTCCCATCTGACAAATATCCTGTTGGCTTTAAATTTAACAGCGACGACCCTAACTTCCCGCTTGAAAATTTACGCTTCGTAGGACTTATGTCTATGATTGATCCACCAAGAGCTGCCGTGCCTGATGCTGTTGCCAAATGCCGGTCTGCTGGTATCAAAGTCATCATGGTTACTGGAGACCATCCAATCACTGCCAAGGCTATTGCCAAGTCCGTTGGTATCATTTCCGAAGGTATTGAGACGTTGACATTTATTGCCCATCAACTTGTCCTCCATGTCACTATTTTTCATATCTTTTATAATCGATTTACTTGTCATTAGGTAATGAAACCATTGAAGATATCGCACAACGGTTGAATATTCCAGTATCAGAAGTTAATCCACGTGAAGCCAAGGCTGCAGTAGTCCACGGAAGCGACCTCAGAGATCTTGACTCTGATCAATTGGATGAGATTCTCAGGTACCATACCGAAATTGTGTTCGCACGTACTTCACCTCAACAGAAACTCATCATTGTCGAGGGATGTCAACGTATGGGTGCTATTGTCGCCGTAACTGGTAATTAAATACATCTTAGCCATTCAATAATTCTAGAAAAATATTTTTCATCATTCTCAAAATTTTATTAATAAAAATTTCATTATAATGTCAAATATTATTGTAGAAATAACCTTTAAGAGTTTTTTTAGTATTTTTTTATAAACGTTTCACAATTTTTCTTTCATTTTTTAACTACTGATAATTTAGTCTACTTTGCAGAATAAATTTTCTGATTATCATAATGCTATAAAAAATCAATCTTACATACAATTTCAAAGTGATAAAAAGAATTAAAGTTTTATTTATATGAATTTATTTGAAATAAAGAATCAGAACATTAAGATATCTACATAATATTATTCTTATTGACTTTGTGGTTTAAAAATATAATAATTATACAAATAAGATTGAAGAAATAAATAAATTGCATCATTTCTTGGATAAAACATATAACATCGTAATACCAGTTCTAACTACTTCAATCCAGATCTATTTATCTAAATAGCTACAATACAAACACAATTTATTCAATTTCAGGTGATGGTGTAAATGATTCTCCAGCCTTAAAGAAAGCAGATATTGGTGTTGCTATGGGTATTTCTGGATCCGACGTATCAAAACAAGCTGCCGACATGATTCTTCTTGACGATAACTTTGCATCAATTGTTACTGGTGTCGAGGAAGGTCGATTGATTTTCGACAATTTGAAGAAATCCATCGCTTACACCTTAACATCAAATATCCCTGAGATTTCACCTTTCCTTGCTTTCATTCTCTGTGACATTCCACTTCCACTTGGAACTGTAACCATTCTCTGCATCGATTTAGGAACTGACATGGTAAGTCACAAATTATTTATAAAAGTAACATTTAACTACATGGTAAGCAAAATTGATGAATCGATTGTTGAACCACTAATGAAAACATGCAATATAATTCTAAGAAAAAAAAAACAACAACAACGATCGATTCCAATGCTTTTTTTTCAGTAATTATTTCAGAAATCTCAAGTTCAACGTTATTTTATTTAAATTGATTCTGGATTATAATCAGATTCCAGCAATCTCATTGGCATATGAGCACGCAGAATCAGATATCATGAAAAGAAGACCTCGCTGTCCTCTCGTAGACAAACTCGTTAATGACAGGTTTTTTTTCTAACTTTTATTTTAGCCAGGCAATATCTAGAAACCTACTACTGTTCCATCAATATACCGCACCAGTAATATTCTCTAATGCCAGAATTATTATTTTGTTTATAAGTATTTCTTAACAGCATTCCTAAATAATCGCCGAGTAGAAGCTGTAATTAAGTAGGAAAATGTAATTATAGCAATTATTATATGCTCTTAAAGGTATAAAAAAGGTACATATTAAATAGAAAGCTAGGATGAAGAACGCGGATAAGCAACATAAATATATTTGCAGGCTCTCAATGGGGATACCTTGAAATATCCTAAATACTTCCTCAATCCTCACATAAATCTTCCAATATCCTAGTGAAAGAAGTTCCTGTTATTTTTATTTTTTTTCTTCTATCATTTATTGAATTTCATTCGTGATTATCATGAATTCATAAGATGTGTTTCATTGTGACTGTGTAAAACTGTGTGTGTGTTCTGGTTTATTTATAGACTGGTTTCATACTTATTTTTTTTTTTAAGATTAATTTTTGGTTATTAAATTTATTCACAATTTCTTATGAAGCTTGTTGATAATATGACGTCAGGTACCAGCCATCTCGCTAGCATACGAGGAAGCTGAGAGTGATATTATGAAGCGACAACCACGAAACCCGTTCACTGACAAGCTAGTTAATGAAAGGTAACACTTAAACAATATCTCCAATGCCCAAAGAATGAAGAAAAGAGACTTAATACTCATCATAACATCTTTCTTAATTCATTGATTTCTTTATAATCAGATTATTTGTTTGCTCAAGCACTTTCAGTAATCTCAAGTCTTTTACTCATCAAACTCTCTGATATTCTATGATTATTTTAATTCATTCTTTTGATTTTATGTTTAATATTTCATCTTAAAATCTCTGAATACTCTATCTTCTTCATTTCATATTTGTAATGTCTGATAATTATACTTTTGATTGTTGGTTTTTATTATGTTTACAATTTTACTCATCTTTTTCTTCAAAAATTAGGTACTCAATTCTGTCATTACTCTGGATCTCGAAATTTAATACACTGAGAAAATAATTATCATATTATTTAATAATTAAAATATTTTTTTTATTAGTCAAATTTATTTACTTACTTTAAAAAAAAAATTAATTTTAAGTTTACTGATCATTCATCTAGACTTTGATTACTTCTTTTATCAAAGAAAAAAATTCAACTATCCATTTTTATTTAGTTAGATACTTTAAAAGAAATTTTTCTCAGTGTAGTGATAGTTCGAATATTTTTCATGTTCATCATACAACAATTTTCTGGATGGTAACATAACACAGTGATAAGTGTAAGGTTGCAGAGCGATAACTCTAGATGTACAGGTCTATATCATTTTGAATTTATTTTCTGAAACAGTTTCAATTCTACTATTTCTTTCGTCATACTTAAATTTTTCTGTGATATTGTGTCATTGTTCTATCCTATCTTATTTCGTTATTCCAATAAATATATTTAAATAACATCTTGCTGATGATGACTTGGTCTTCAAAGTAGTCAACATATTTTTTTTTTTTATTTAAGCATAGTAAATATTGGAATAAAGAGATAAATACTGGTGTGTTGTTTTCATTAAACTATGAAGATCATGTTATCATATCCCAAATATTTAATTATCAGTTAAAAAAATAAATAAAAGGTAAGCTGATTAATCATTCTTTCCATTCTCACTTCTAAAAGCACATGTTTTGATGGACTTCTTTCATTTATTTAATACTTCTTCTTCTAATTCATCTTCTTTCATTTATGTATACGTATATGCAATCAACTATATTCAATGCTGATCATAAAAGAAAAATAATTCCTTCAAACTTCAAAGGGATATGGAATCTAGCATCTCAGCATGTTCATCTATCAGCATTCTGTATATTTTTTATCTTCTATTCTTTATATTTATAACCACATCATTGGCAGCAACAAGGGCCCCTGAAAAATGCATTTAATTAAACAGAGTTTCATTATTAAAGATATTTTCCTTTTTATATCACAACTATCTTCACCAAAAATTTATTTTACTTCATTTTTTCCTTCTCAATCCTGCCTGCCTTAATAAAAAAAGCCTCCAGCCAATTTGTTTCTTGTTGCTATTTGTCTTGCTATAAAATCAAGTTTCCAGTGCGTGTACGAGCGCAGATTATTATTAATTTTAATCAATTATTTAATCATTTTAATGAAGAATCATTCTCAATAGTTCTACAAAATCAAAGACTGTATTAATGGGACCATTTTTAAAAGGTTTTAAATGTTCGTTATAATTATTATGAAATTGTTGATCTTAAATGTTTTATTTTATTTCAATAATAAGATGTTAGATATTTTAATAATTAATCAACAATTTCATGCAACTAAAGATGATATATTTCTCGTAGTTGTTGATTATCGTTGTTAACTAGTTATTATAGTGTAGTTTAAAATACTTATTTATCAATTTTTCAAAGATATTAATAGTATCTATTAAATGATGTAATAATTCTCTATTATCTCTGATAGATATTATCCTATAGAAGTATTAATAATTATCATGAAGACAACAACTAGATATCTTTAATATATTTTCAAAATAATATATACACTAACAACAACACAACAACACAACAAGAATACACACAACTTATAAACAATTATTCAATTGTTATACTATTTATAACTATTACTCTCGCAGCTGATGCTAAAAAAAATATAACAATCTTTTTTCACCTGCGATGCCACTACTTTTACTTATTATTCACCATTAGGCACCTTAAATATTTTACCAACGAGGACTGGATTATTCTCTATCTATCTACAACAATTTTCTACCACATCTTTTTAATTAATATTTTTTCTTATATCTTCTATTTCTTTGGATATGGATATGGCGCATAACTGGGATATGCAGATGGCGGTTCAACAAAATGGACAATTTTTCTAGCTTATAATATATTTTAATAACAGAGGAAACTGTTCAATATTTCATTTTAATAAATCTTGATTTTTTATTAAATAATAAGGACAGTCTCTTCAGTAATAAATACATTACACGACATAAATGCCGTTTTTAAAAGTGAGGTTATACATGTAATTTTCTAGATTTTTTTATAAAAAATTAAGCTCCATTTATGTCGTGTAGTGTTTAATCCAGTCAACTAAAGGTTATCATTCTTTTCAGTAACTTCTTGCTCTCATATACCTATATTCACTCTAGATCATAAGAGCTTTTTAAAGTTGGAGAAGTGCTGAAGATACTTGATGACTTATTAGCATTGGCTTGATTATAAAAACGCTTGTGAATGGCAAATATAAATCTTCTCTTTATCTTTTAATGTCATATTCAGATCATTTATAAATTAACAAAAGCTCATATTTATTTATTTTCTTTAATTAATGTTAAATAAGGTTATAATGAATATACATTGACATGAATGCTAATTTTAGTTATAATTAATGGTCTGAAAATGACGAATGCTTGAATTTTGCAGCATTAACCTCGACTTGCTGAACAATTAAATTCTTCTTTATTTCTTTTTCTAAAACTATTCATTTTCAAAGTCGACTCTTGAGATATTATTAATTAAAGTCCAGCGAGTCGACGGTTTACTTTATTTTTGCAAGTCTACGGGGATATGTTACTTTGTATACAGGTGCCCTGGTGTAATATGCTCTTCAGAACAATTGCTAATCTTTAATATGTTTTTTATACCAACATCTATACTATTAATAATTTATTATTACACTTTGAAACTTTTTATTGTACACAATTGCTTAATAATGGGTGGATGGCAGGTGCCGGCCATCTCGCTAGCTTATGAGGCACCGGAGTCGGATATTATGAAACGTCAGCCACGCGATCCTTACAGAGACAATTTAGTCAACCGAAGGTGCGTGTCAAAATTAACCCACCAGAAGAGCCATTTAGAAAGTTTTTTTTTGTGCACCTGTTCATCAAATAATTGCTGATATATCTTGACTAAAGTTTACTCGATTCATACAGCATGTTATAAACAATGGATATCAATAATTACACATATTAATAATAGTTATTTTTAAAAAGGAATAGAGATGCATGCACTTAGAATTCTATTTTTAACTAACCCTACTTTCTACTGAAGAATCAATATTTTGAAAAATTAGTTGGATTTTAAAATGCATTGGATTGAATTAAAATAAAATATTAAAATTAATTTTATTGAAAATAATAATCCTTTTTGAAGATAATTATTCCTTCAATACTTTCATACAACACAACATACATAACCACTAACTCTAGATAAATGTTATTGTGTTCTTTATTTTCAAATAATTGGTATGTACACAATAATTTCAATACATTTTTCTTTACATCAACTGTATATTTCTTCAAACTAACTCTCATTTAATCAGACAATGATTCATACATAAAAATAATTTCAACACCATCAGAAAAATAAAACATCAAAATTCAAAATATTGCACCAACACAAAGATAATATAAACAATACACCAAGAAAAAAACCATCTTTATAAAACCAGTAAATGTTAGAGTGGCAAAATAGTTGAAGATTACAATGTCGAAATTGTGAATGGCCTTTTCGAAATGATTTTAAAAAATCACTGCTGAAATGATGCATATTTTCATGCACACTAATATTACTTGAATATATATATTGTTAATAGTTAATTGTTAGCCTTGATAGAGTATTTAAGTGTTCACTTTCAGTCATAGAGATCGCATCTAGGATGATATAGGCAGCAAAGCATGCAGTGAAATAATCAATCTAATCGCCAAAGATTTAAGATTAAAATTAATTTATTTATTTCAATGATAAAAATGGCTTTTCTTAAATCTATTTTTCAGCACTCAAATTATTTATAGCTTTCTAGAAGAATAAAAGACTTGATTAATTAGATTTAAAAAAAAATAAATAAATAAATGAACCAACTTAATCTATTGAATAATTAATCAAATGACTGGTAATTCAATAAATTAATTAATTAACCAATTGCATGATTGATTGCTTGAAGTAACAGCTTTTACTAGATTTCATTGCTTTGCTATCACCTTCTGCTTGCATGTACTATTTGCTTACTATGCTAATTAATTATCATTCATCTCATGTTTAAAAGGTTGGTAAGTACCTAAAACCTAAGCTAATCTACTACTTCTATTCTGATACATCTCTCTAGTTTGAGTTAGAGCTCATCTGCAACTAAACACTCAATTGAATTGATCAACTAGAGTTTAATCTTAATAAACCTTAAAGGTTTCCTAGAATTTCCCCCAAGCCTTGAGCTTATTAGAGAACTTTTAGCTAAAAGAAAAATATTTAATGTTAACAAATTGAACCAACTATAATAGTCTTGTGCTTTTTTTAAATATAGGCTCATCTCCATGGCTTATGGACAGATTGGTATGATCCAAGCTGCTGCAGGTTTCTTCGTGTATTTCGTTATCATGGCTGAGAATGGATTCCTACCATTAAAACTCTTTGGTATCCGAAAACACTGGGATTCTAAAGCTATTAATGATCTTACTGACAGTTATGGACAAGAATGGGTAAGAAAAATTGATATTATTTAATCAAATATTTTTTTTTATTTACATCCTGATAAAATAAAACATTCTTTATCACTTTCAGAATCAAATTTAGGGATTTTATTGATGAAAAAGCTGACCCTATTTTTTGATATTTTCCATTTAAACATTTCCTGTTATGCTATAACCCATTAAAGTTCCCAATTTCCAACTGTTTCTAAATCAAAAATCAATGAAAATAGCACTCTATTTTCACTTTTAACAACAATATTGATTAATTTTTCTCCATCAACATGTATCACACTGAAACAATTGGGAAAGCTTAATTGAAACTGAAAAAAGATAAAAGTTTTGTTACACAATATAACAAAATAAATCTAGGAAATATCAAATTAATAATCGAATATTTTTTTTTTTTATTTACAGACATACAGAGACCGTAAATCTCTAGAATTCACGTGTCACACAGCTTTCTTTGTATCAATTGTTATTGTACAATGGGCAGATTTAATTGTTTGTAAGACACGTAGGAACTCGATTATCCATCAAGGAATGAGAAATTGGGCGCTTAACTTTGGTCTTGTATTCGAGACAGCTTTGGCTGCATTCTTGAGTTACACGCCTGGAATGGACAAGGGTCTTCGTATGTTCCCACTTAAGTGAGTATCAACATGTATTAGCAACCCTATATTCATCAAGGTAATACGATCATTAATAAGGGTCACTTGATAGATAAACTTGTCGGATTTGTGGATAATTTTTCATGCATTTTTTAGAAGCAAATGTCTTTGGGGGTTTTAAGATAATAATTGCCAGTTGATAGCAATAAATTATTTCCTGGGTTATATTGATAATTATAATGTGGATATTGTAGGGTCTGAAAGACCCCCATGCAGCTGTTCCTATTCTAAATTTTGAAACGCTTGATGGAAAGTTACTTTACATAGTCATTTAATTGAATAAGTTACTTTAAAGTACATGGAAATTCCATCAACGTAATTTAATTATATATTTTCTATACTTCCTTTTAAGATGTTGAAAATTTAAAATTCTATCATGATATTACTCCAATGATCGAATTATTTTGAATAAAAAAGCCAACTCAATTTCCATATATTGATTGGATTATTTGACTTGAGTTGAAAAAAAAAATTTAATTCAATAAATTGTTCAATTATCATCAAAGTCTAATATGATAATTATTTTTAGATTTGTATGGTGGCTTCCCGCGTTACCTTTCATGTTGTCAATCTTCATCTACGACGAAACGAGACGATTCTACCTCCGTCGGAATCCAGGCGGATGGCTGGAGCAAGAAACTTACTATTAAACAGTTACGTACAGCGAGATGCATACCCACGCGGAAATACATAAAGCTAAAGGAAGATTCAAAAACTACTCACATATACACATGTTATACACAGGGCGTGCTATTAAATCGATCCATATTATCATGAAAAAGGCTGGAAATGTGCTTCGTTGGCTAAACCATGTGGCTCAAGGAGATTATTCCAAGAAAGAGCAAAATCGAAATAAAAAAGAACATTATCCAATCGTTATCCTTGTGCACTGGATAGGAAAAGTGGTTAAAGATGGTAAACATTTGGAATCCAACGAACCGAATACGGACGGTTCGTCGAATTCGTTTTCCGACATGCTCCAACGAATGTTCACTTACACGTGACAGGACTATTTAGTAGTATTAACGGGAGAATGTGCGCCGTCTTGAAAGTGTTCTGCTGAGCCATGATGATAAAATAAAGCACTTGTGGGTTCCAATAACATGGGAACGTGGATATGAGTCACTGCCCTATATATGTATTGGTTGTACGAGCGTAAACATTTGGGAATCTACAAGGATAGCCGGGGATTATGCTAATGATGCGAATATCCAGCCTGGAATGAAGAAAAACGACCAATAAAAAAGCGATAGTGTTATTAGATTATTGGATGGGCTTTGCATGATCAAAAAAAATAGCGTCGGGTGAGACGGGCCTAAAACAAAAAATAAATGGTAGATTGTAGATGGAATATAAAAAAAAAAAAATAACAAATTTTAAATTTAAAAAGAAATTTTATTGAACAATAATAAACGTGCGGGGGTAAGCTGACCGTGGTATGTTAATATTAAAAATTTCATTAAATATAATAAATTATTTATAATTGAAGTGTGCATTAAAAAAGTGTGTAGGACACACTTTCAACGATATTTATTTGTCGTGTGGCATGCTTCATTTTAGTTGAAAAATTCGAAAAAATTCATTCAATTCGAATATTCAAATGTTAAATTTGATGAAATAAAGAAAAAATAATACGTTGATTTTAAAGGATTAATAAAAAAAAAGAAAAAATGAAAATATTATATTAATAATCGATTAAAAACAAAATGCGGAATCCGCAGAAAGAGAGAAATATATTGATTAAATAATAATGTAGATGTCTTGTGATACCGGGGATTATTCCGATAAAAAAGATCTGTTCATTAGCGATTTATTATTTTCAAAAATCATTAACTTGTTAATAAATTGGCATGATCTAGAAATTCTCATGTGAAAATAACAATTATCTGACTAAATAAATAAAAAATAGTATTCATTGTATATATAAAACATTATCAACAACAAATAAATTATAATTTCAAATACGCAGGATATATAAATATATAAATAAATTTATATATATATAAATATATAGAAGTCGTATGACACCGCAATTCTTTATAGTAAGTTTTATTGTTTAATAATTTATGAAATAAAAAAAAAAAGAGGGAAATTTGTTAAAAAAAATCAGTATGCTAGATCGGCACGCCCTAGATAAAAGAAATAAAAGTTAATTAAAAAGTATTGAATTAAAAATAAATAAATAAAAGAAATTTGAAAATAAAAATCGCGTATTCATTATTTGCATGTAGCATCGTCTGATTTTGAATATTAGCTACAATCAGATCGCCTTACGTTATTCTGTAGATTTTATTCGAGATCGTTAATAAAAATGGAAAAAGAGGGTCGGCATAACGAAGTAGCGATAGAAAAAATAACAACAATTTAAACAAAAAAAAATCATTGATAAAAGTGTGCTCGTTTAATAACTGTGAGCTATTGAATTTCTTAATTAGTCATTGTAATAAATACAAATTTAAAGCAAGAAAAATCTCTAAGTTGATGATATAGTTGAGTGAGAAAAGTAGAAAGATAGAGACAGAGTGAGTTGAATGAATAATGAAAAATGATGAGCCAAGTTTCTTGATGAAGAATTAATAAGCGAAAAGGGCCATAGACTTGTTTTGAGATTACAAAAATTATATAGTACACGCGATGATTGTAGATTGTAGATTATACACAGTAAAGGAAAAAATAACAAAAAAAAAAAAACGAAATTACGAGCTAGGAATGGAAGTAATGCATTCTCACGTAGATGACAAACAAAAAATAAATAATAATTATAATTATAATTATGAAAAAAAAAAAAAAATAAATAATCAAGTAAATATATAAAAAGCATTCATTCTCTTAGGTTTTTTTCATAGTTTTAATGCCAAGCGGGAAAGCTCGCTTTAAACTTATTGCCCCGGTACGCTCTGAACGCCCTGTTATCAACCGATTACATGATGATTTAGCAAACAAAAAGTTACTGTCAGAAAATTTTGATTAATTAAACCAGCGAACCCTTCGACACAAAGTGACTTAAAAACCTGCCACGTATGACCCTCTCACTCACAGAATGTTCGAGAATATTATCAATTAAAACAGAATAATAATTAAAATGTCACAGGGGCGCGAAATACTCAAGATGATGGAGATGGTGAAAAGCAGCACACCCCGGCTCCGGTTAGGTCCTGAATAAATGCCTAAAGTGTTCATTATTGAGAGTCATTAGTACACTTGTTAATTACATTCATGTAACTTTAATAAACACAACATAAAAAATTTAAAAAAATAACACAAGACATTTACACTTAACAAGCACAATGAAATGATTTTTAAAGTAAGAAAAACTGTTGGAGTTTTAAAGTAGCATTTAAAAGCCACGAAAGCCCTAAGAGACTTCCAGTTTTGATGTTTATCTTCCTAAAGAGAATGAAAAGACATGTTAATCATTGAAAATAAATGCAGACTTTTTTGACTTTCCGTATGTTATTCTCGTTAAATTGGTCATTAAGGCCTGCGTGGATTTAATGAAAAAAAAAAAACAAGAATTAAAACAAATTAATTAGGAAGATATAACTCATAATTAAACACTTATAGAAACAAAGTGAGTAGATGATTAAAAGCGTCGGGTATGTCGGTAATAAATTTCTATACGTGCTGAAAGCTTATCATGCTAATTGATGTCATGGCACGTATGAAACTCACTGTACGATAAGAAACGATGAAAAAAATCTTGTGAGAATGTAAATGATAATGAATTATAAAAGAAATAAGAAAAAATGATGTTAAAACGGTTGTCAACAGGGTGTTCCGTGCCGGGGGGACGTAGGAGCCCAAGAAAAAAAAAAACTGATAAAATAAAAAAAATGCTTTGCCGTCGTGCGCCGCCTCACTTTAGGCTAAATAATTTAAATATTAACGATAATATAATAATTATGATAATACAATACATGTTATAAAATAAGATATTACTAGATGTAATTATTATACATGGTTAGTCTAGATCGTGTTGTTGAAGAAAAAAGTATGTATAAGCAAAAAAAAAAAAAAATAAATAAAAGAAATGGAGCGAACAAAATATATAACATAAAAAAGTAATGGAATAGGATTCGGTCTAAGACCAAAATCCGCAGCGGAATGAGTACGTACGAGTCACGATTCATTTTTTTTTAAAAAAAAACCACATAACTTTATAAACCTAACCTAAAATTCATAATTTTAATTAATGATAATTTTAATTCTGTATTATGTGTAATTCTCAATAATATGTATATTTTATAATTTGCATTCGTTTTTTCATCGCAATAACAATCGACAACGTTATCGTGATGAATGTTTTTTATGAAAAAGAGTGCGAGAGATAATAAATTAATGTATAATTGAGAATATTGAGAGAATCAAATATGTGTGATTGTTGAATTAAAATCCAATTTTGCATGATTATTCATTTTTAAAAATCGTAATAACATTTATAAATATTAATCCAATAATTAATGAATTTTCTTCTTATTATATTGTCGTATAACAATAATTAAGAAAGAGGAAGTTGATGAGTAAAATAAAATGAGAAAAAGAAAAATGAACAAGTCATTTGCACAGACTCAGTCCGCTATGCGTGATAGAATCATTGAAAGATTTAAATAAATAAATAATGTTTTATTAAATTGTAAATATTTTAAATAATAGACGACGGACATTAAAAATTGTGCGTGATTGGGGACCCACTAGGGCCGGTTCTTGATTTAATCGGTCCGACCCTCGCATTATTGCGGGTCCTTTGCTCTTTTTTGCAATTTTCGTTTTGCTTTACACGTGAATGTACATCACTCTACTCACACAATCCTATTTAAAAACAACACTTGTATGCAACATTCAACTCATGAGCTTCAATAATTGGCCCAGATGCTGACTTCACAAAGTAACTAATTAAAGGTTACCTAGAACACAAATCACGATTAATAAATAAAGAAATTATTGAATCAATTAAATAAAGCAAGTTACGTGAGTTAGAAAACACGTACACGCATACAATACACAGCAATTGATGATATAAAAAAAAGGAATACGTGCTCACTGCTCTACTCTATCTGTAATATCTTTCTGATTGACAATTTCTTTCGTATTCTTATTGATAAGTTTTCGTTTTCACACATAAAAATATATTAAGGATACGAAAGACATTGTCCAACCCAAGTGTCATTACTTTTGATGTTAAATAAAAAATACATAATTAATAAAAGTTGTCATTCTTGTTGTATTAAATGTATCCTTTTTATTTCATAGACTTTTACTATCAATAAAAGAACTATAAAAAATTAATTTGAGTTATTTCTTTTAATTTAGTTTATTTGATAAATAATCATGGAATTGTTTTTATTTTGTATTTGATGACGGTTGTGGATGACGATAATTTTGTTCAACACTTTCCATGGAAGATTCCCAAAATTTGACTTTCGAATTCGAGAATATACAAGTCACGCCACCTAGGAGCAATTAGAAGTAAAACTGAAAATGACCAAGCTCTGAAGGTATATGCTCAACTTCTATGCTAATGATGCTACGGGGTTGATCGAGGGCTCATATGCGAGATCAGGACCTGAGTAAAAAAATCGATCCCCCCTATAGGATATCCCCGTCAAAAATGCCGTATCTCGCTTAGTTTTCGAGTTATGAGCGTTTAAAGGTTTTCTTATGTTTTGCTTCAGCATAACTTTGATTTCTACTAATAACTCATAATCTATGAGACTTACATAGACTATAAGGATATCAATGGATCCGTGAGAGTGAGAGCTTTCGATTGCACTCCTCAAAATTATGATCCGAGCATAATTTATGCTAAAATTGGAGCTAGTTAGAATTCATTCGATTTTGAGCAATCATGGAGTACTTTGAAAAGAGATCAAGAAAGACCAAGCTCTGAAGGTATATGCTCAACTTCTATGCTAATGATGCTACGGGGTTGATCGAGGGCTCATATGCGAGATCAGGACCTGAGTAAAAAAATCGATCCCCCCTATAGGATATCCCCGTCAAAAATGCCGTATCTCGCTTAGTTTTCGAGTTATGAGCGTTTAAAGGTTTTCTTATGTTTTGCTTCAGCATAACTTTGATTTCTACTAATAACTCATAATCTATGAGACTTACATAGACTATAAGGATATCAATGGATCCGTGAGAGTGAGAGCTTTCGATTGCACTCCTCAAAATTATGATCCGAGCATAATTTATGCTAAAATTGGAGCTAGTTAGAATTCATTCGATTTTGAGCAATCATGGAGTACTTTGAAAAGAGATCAAGAAAGACCAAGCTCTGAAGGTATATGCTCAACTTCTATGCTAATGATGCTACAGGGTTGATCAAGGGTTCATATGAAAGATCAGGACCTGAGTAAAAAAATCGATCCCCCCTATAGGATATCCCCGTCAAAAATGCCGTATCTCGCTTAGTTTCCGAGTTATGAGCGTTTAAAGGTTTTCTTATGTTTTGCTTCAGCATAACTTCAATTTCTGCTAATAACTCATGATTTATGGGACGTACATAGACAAGGAGCATATCAATGGATTCCTGAGAGTGAGAGCTATCGATTGCACTCCTCAAAATTATGATCCGAGCATAATTTATGCTAAAATTGGAGCTAGTTAGAATTCATTCGATTTTGAGCAATCATGGAGTACTTTGAAAAGAGATCAAGAAAGACCAAGCTCTGAAGGTATATGCTCAACTTCTATGCTAATGATGCTACAGGGTTGATCAAGGGTTCATATGAAAGATCAGGACCTGAGTAAAAAAATCGATCCCCCCTATAGGATATCCCCGTCAAAAATGCCGTATCTCGCTTAGTTTCCGAGTTATGAGCGTTTAAAGGTTTTCTTATGTTTTGCTTCAGCATAACTTCAATTTCTGCTAATAACTCATGATTTATGGGACGTACATAGACAAGGAGCATATCAATGGATTCCTGAGAGTGAGAGCTATCGATTGCACCCCTCAAAATTATGATCCGAGCGTAATTTATGCTAAAATTCGAGTTGATATAAATTTACTCGACTTTAGGGGTTAAGAAATGGATTTCGAAGATTCTTGATATGACGCCGTATGTATCTGTGTGATGTACTCAGCCACTTTTAGTTTGACGAATTATTTTTTTTTTCGCTAAAAAATATGGTGTCATATTAATAATCTCCGAAATCTATTTCCTAACCCCTAAAATAAAATAAAATTCAAACCAGCTTTAATTTTAGCATAAATTATGCTCGGATCATAATTTCAGGAGTGCAATCGAAAGCTCTCACTCTCACGAATTTATTGATATGCTCATTGTCTATGTAAGTCTTATAGATCATGAGTTATTAGCAGAAATCAAAGTTATGCTCAAGCAAAACATAAGAAAACCTTTAAACGCTTATAACTCGGAAACTAAGCGAGATACGGCATTTTTGACGGGGATATCCTATAGGGGGGATCGATTTTTTTACTCAGGTCCTGATCTCTCATATGAGCCCTCGATCAACCCCGTAGCATCATTAGCATAGAAGTTGAGCATATACCTTCAGAGCTTGGTCTTTCTTGATCTCTTTTCAAAGTACTCCATGATTGCTCAAAATCGAATGAAATTCAAACTAGCTCCAATTTTAGCATAAATTATGCTCGGATCATAATTTTGAGGAGTGCAATCGATAGCTCTCACTCTCACGAATCCATTGATATGCTCATTGTCTATGTAAGTCTTATAGATCATGAGTTATTAGCAGAAATTGAAGTTATGCTGAAGCAAAACATAAGAAAACCTTTAAACGCTCATAACTCGAAAACTAAGCGAGATACGGCATTTTTGACGGGGATATCCTATAGGGGGGATCGATTTTTTTACTTAGGTCCTGATCTTTCATATGAGTCCTCGATCAACCCCGTAGCATCATTTGCATAGAAGTTATGATTATTCCTATTAGGTATTGCTTATTTTTGCAAATATCTCTTGATCTATACAACCCATCTCTCTAAAAAAAAACAGTTATTTTCTTGGAACCATCTTATCAACTTCTTGTCGATGATGCTCATAATTTTATGATTCACGCATAAATCATAATTTAAAATTTTTTTTGCGGTTCAGCTGAATTCAAACTTCAAGTAAAATTTCCGTCTTCAATATCAGTAACATCATTGTGTCTAATTAATAATTATCATTTACACTTTATACCTTTCAGATTGTAATAAATTATATGGAAATCATAATTTTTCATTTCAACAAAACCATGTTATATCAACTGAGTCATGACCTTGGTTCATGTAAGTTATTCTAGGTTTTTTTTAGGGTCAGATGGCGACACCTCCTCGAGAAAAATTATCCTTGTTGCATGGGCTCTCTCAGTCTTGTTTCTGGTATTGAAAATACCAATTCGTAGGTTATCCTGATAAAAACATACATTAATTTTTAATTAATTCAATCGATTTGTTGTATAAGCGTTGTGTAAATCTATTACAAAGTGGAGATTGAAGCCAAAAAATCGTTTCGTTCTAAAGATGAAGATTCAGTAAGTTATCGAATATATTTTTTTAAAAAATCTATGACGATTATTTACATTTTGATGTATGTAATTTTTTATGCTGTCTTGAAAAATAAAATAATTTAATTAATAATCGATTTAAAAATTTTTTTTTAGCAACGTATTCGTGAAGAATTGAAACATATGAGTTTTGAAGATCTTCAAAAAATGAGAGAAAAATTAGGATCTAAAGTATACAATGCGACACTATTTGGTAAAAATAATAAAGTGAAAAAACGAGAATTCAATAAACTTGATAGAGATAAACCTTTAGAAGTTTCTGCTAAAAGAAGAGTTCCAAGATTGATGCAAGTTGTGCCTGTAAAGAAACCAGTAGCACGAGATCCACGATTTGATAGACTTTGTGGTGAATATAATGAAAGAGCATTCAAAAAGGATTATGGTTTTTTGGATGAAGTAAAGAAGAATGATTTAAAGACGTTGAGGAAGGAATTACAAAAAGCGGATGATCCTGAAACAATAAAGAAAATTAAATATTTAATTCAGAGGTTAGAAAATCAATTAAGAGAAACTGATAGGAAAATGAAAAAACAGCAAACAGAGAAAATGGAAAAGCAGGAAATTTTAGAAGCAATAAAGAAAGGAGAGAAGCCACATTTCAAGAAGAAATGTAAGTTTACTGAATTTTTTCTCATATTATTCAAAGTCCTCATGTTTTTTAATACCTTTACGTTCTTTCTTTTTCTCTTGCAGCTGAAAAGAAAATCCTCGACCTCGTCGCTCAATATGAAGAATTGAAAGAGTCTGGTAAATTGAAGAAACACATCCAAAGGTTAAGGAAGAAAAAGATGATTAAAGACAGAAAGAAAATGGCAAAATCTGATGCAATTGATGATTGAACTTAGTAAATATTTTTCTGTATAATAATGTATGTATAATTAACTCTTCATTAGCAATTTATATTATCAAAAATATCTATTAAAACTATTTACATAATTTTTCCTTGTTGGAAAAAATATTCTATACAATTTTATATAAATTTAGTACAAAAGAAAATTGCTAGTGAAAGGTTTGATGTAATTATATTAAACCAAACAGATATTTTTAATAAAAATTGTATAGTTTAACAAAATGGTTGTTTAATTTATAAAAATTGTAATTTAGATAATAATTTAAAATGCGATATATATTTTATCATTTAATGATAAAAGCCATGAACTTGAATCAGTGGCGCTATCACTTGGCTGTGGCTTCTATTACATCTACGATCCTTCAAGATACCTCTTGGAGAGTGAGAGTATACGTCTGTTGCTTAGAAAGTTCAAGAAAACTTGATTCCGTCAGCAAGTTTATCGGTATCCGTTGAAAACGCCTACGTATAAATTCGATAAGCGTTAAAAATGTATCTTTGATTTTTAGAGATTACTTTTATAGCCTATATTGCCCTGAAACATATAACAAAAATGTCTGTGAACTTAACAAAGAATAATGACTCCCTCGTGGCTGCCTGGAAAAGTGTAGTTGACGACAAATCTCCAGTGAACTGGTAAGAATGAATTTTCTGCCTTATTAATTAATTAGATCACCGCGTTATCTTACTTCTTATATTTTTTTTTTAAGTCTTACACTTGAATATTTATCTCATTTAATCAATTCCAGGGCGGTTTTTGGATATGAAGATCAAACAAATAATCTAAAAGTTGTAGGAACAGGAGACAAAGGACTTCAACAGATGATTGATGAATTAAATAGCGGGGAAATAATGTACGCTTTTTGTAGAGTAATGGACACAAAAACGAGCCTACCAAAATGTTTATTAATAAATTGGCAAGGTGATGGAGCACCGATTGTGAGAAAAGGAACATGCGCTAATCACATAAGAGATATTGAAAGACTTTTAAAAGGTGCTCATATAACAATTAATGCTAGATCAGAAGATGATGTAGAAGTAGATATCATAATGGAACAATTGGCTAAAGCAACAGGATCTGCATATAAATTTCGAGAACCTCGTGGGAAGGATGTGGGTAATTCAGGTCCGGTGGGAACGACTTACAAGCGCGTGATTCCTGAGCAGGAAATTAATGCAGTAGAGCGTGATGAATTCTGGCAGAGGGAAGAAATGGAAGAAAAAGCCCGAGTGGCTGAAGAAAGATTACGATTAGAAAAAGAACGTCAGAGACTTGAGTTGGAAACCAGGGATCGTGAAGAGAAACAAAGTAAGTTAAGAGAACAACAGCAGGCAGCTGATAAAGCTGCATTGAATCAACGTGAACAAATTAAATCAGAACAACGTGCCCAAGAGATAAAGAATTTGAGAAATCAACAAATAGCTACTCAAAATGGCAGTGATTCTGAGGACGAGCGCAAGTCGAGAAGCGATGAATTGCGCCGACAAAGAAGTAAAGAGGCGCAGCAATTGATTGCTCAGAGGACAATCAATGCGCGTGCGATTTTTGAACAAAATTCTGCTGCTGGTCAAATGAAAACAACATTTGGAAATCAATCTATGCCAAGATCAATTGTCAAAGAGCAAATAGCAAAAGTCAATAATGAAAAGGTTGTCAACAGTACACCTAAAGAACCTGTCAAAACTGTTGAACCACCACTGCCAATAGTTGAGCCTGTTAAAGAAATCCCTCCACCTCCAGAACCAGTACCAGAGGTTCGAGAGGCTCCAGTGAATGTTAATAATGGAAAAGAGTTAACTCAAGAAGCTGAAGTTGTTGAAAATAATGTTGAAACTGAACTATACAATCAGTTAAGCAATGATGAACCTTATTTATACTTTGATCCTAACAATCAAGGAATGAAAGCTAGAGCTTTATATGATTATCAAGCCGCTGATGACACAGAGATTACTTTTGATCCTGGTGATATTATCACTCATATCGATGCTATTGATGAAGGCTGGTGGCAAGGACTTGGACCTGATGGAACTTATGGTCTCTTTCCGGCCAATTATGTTGAAGTTATTGAGTATGCTTCCACATGAAGTTAATTGGATGAAACGGAGTTTAATTGTTGACTGATTTTTATTCTACAAGTTTATTAATTCATTGGATAATTAATTAGAGAACTTAATGAATTTCGTATTATGAAGAATTATTGAGTATTAAAAATTAGTGTTTAAAAACTTCTTTCATAATTGGAGCCAGAATGAACAATTGTCAGATTTTAAAAATAGTGCAATAATGGAATTGGAGCAATTTCCGTAAGATAATGAGAATTTGTCACTTGGTTATCTAAAAGAACTGTTGATTTTTTAATTCTCATGAATCATTCGTACTTAAATGGACGCTGTCATACATAAGTTAAATCTAATTTACTTTAATTGATTTCAATTAAATTAAAATAATGCTCCAAAATTGTTTTCAGAATTTTTAAAAATATTTTCATACATGTTTTATTAGTTTATTATTTTCTTTTTTTTAAATGGTAGATTATTTGATTTTTATAATTAGCTTAGACTTTTTTATACCCTTTGAATAATTATTCTAATCGCACGATGCATCAAAATGGTTCTAGTCCAGGTCAAGGTGATGTATTTAAGCAATTAATCTGATTCATACTACACTTGAGATTGTTGTATTTTGTATGAAAGATGACAAATTATAAAGATGAATAAGAATACTATTACAAGATTGATAAAGTAATAAAATGAAAAACCTAATTATCAACTAAATGTGAAAACAATGTTGAATAATAGTAGAAAAATGGAGTAAGCATTTTTTTTTTAAGATCAAATAGAAATGACTTTTTAAACATCTAATTGTATTAATTATTAAAATACTGAATCGAACAAATAGCGATCAAATCTGCTAAAAAAAAAAACGTTATATAAATATACATGAAATTTATTATGTACTTTAATAAATCATCTGTCAGAGACATGATGTTTTTTTATTAATTAATTATAATAAATAAAAGATTAAAATAAACTAAAAAAAATCATTGAATCTTTTTTTCTTTCTATTAAGTTTGTTTTCAAATTAAATATTGAATAATTGTCCGATATAATAATTGCGTTAATAATATTTGAAATTTTTCGTAGAAAATTCATAATTTTATTTCGCTAATTTATCAGGAAAAAAATAACATGACAATCTTAAGAGTAAATAAATTTATTACAAGATTATCTTCTATAATTAGCTTCATTTCCATTGCCTCCCGCTGAATTCGCATGACTTAAAAATGCTAAATGACCTTTCGGACATTTATTGGCATAATGGCCTTTAGTTCCACATTTATAACACGTTACTTCTTCTAATGGTTTCTGAGGTCCTCGTGGAGGTGGACCATTGTGCATATTCATATGATGATATGGCTGATGAGGACCACCACTTTCAATTTCTTGCCGCACTTGTGCTTCTCTCACATCAGGAGGCATCTTGTTGCAATAGATTGCTTTGTGTCCACCTTCTCCACAGAAGTGACAGGTAATCATCACTTTTTTGCCCTCCTTTGGCTGCATGTCTTGAACAGCAGGTAGTTCAAATCTTGGACTGTAAAATAATATTCTATTATATTCTTTGTTTCAACGTATTTCAATTATTTATCAATCTAATTGTCTTTTGTTTATATAAAATTAAGATTTGAATGTAAAATTCAGAAGTTTAAAATAATTCTTAAAGGACTCCAAAATTTTGTTCATGTTTACATTCAGAAGTTTGGAGTTAGTAAAGCAATAAAGAATTCATTTCAAAGGCAAACAAAGTCTTCGTGAAATTAAAGAGAACTTGGCAACAAAATACTTACTGCATAAATTTACAATTAGGACCTTCAGGACAAAATCCAGCTAAATAAGCCATACAAAGAACTCTTCTGACATGACGATGTCGACAAAGTGGGCCATGTCTACAGAATCCTCGATCATACCAAGGACAATCTCTAACTTTTGTTTCAGGATCGATGTGTAGAAAAGGGCATTCTTTATTGTGACATGCATCTATGGATAAAAATAAAAAAATAATTAAAAGTCAAGATGATTATTCGAAGAGTTAAAAATTTTTATGAAAATAAAATACTCACTAAATCTTGAATAAAAATAACATTCCGGCATTTTCGTCATATCATACTCATGAAGAAATTCACATTGGTCTCCTTTTTTACAAAGTCCTCTGAGCCAATGTTTACATACAATAGTTCGATCACCTCGAACATGTCTGAATGGGCACGAAGGACCTTTGGTACATGAACCACTTGGATAAAATTGGCAAACAGCCGCAATTGATTCTGAAAAAACAATCACAAGTCACAATAAAGTATGTTTATATAAAAGATAACCTAGAAATTCAAATAACTCACTGTCCATGCCGGTAAAAGGTAACGGGAGAGCGCCATATTGTTCATCTAAAGCAATTTCAATGTCAAATTTCATTTCATCGACATTCGCTACTAAATACTCCATTATTTAATTGATGTCACAACAAACAGAATTTATTTACAATTATTTATCATAACTAAGTGTCAAATTTTACAAATAACTCGACGCCATTTTTACTCTCTCGTGGTGCTGCCATCTTTCAAAGCCGGTCATTATCTTTAACTGTCCCCTAGCGGAAATAAAAGTAAACTCGAGTAATATTCATCGGCTGGTATTAAAATTATTTAGGAGGTAAAACAAATTTTTATGATTATGATTACACTGTCGTTGCGTTCAATGCCGTCATTACGTAGCCGTATTCACAGTATATAAGAGACAGGTGCCGATCTGGTGACGGTAGTCTCTCACATACGTTTACAGATTACTGTTGATTGTCGCCAACGCGTATCGTTAATGCTAGTGAGGACTTGAGTTGAATTAAATATTCGACATTAGACTAAAAACAATAGAAGAATAACAATAATAAAATATTTAACATTTAATCAACCTAAAAATCAAGTTAGTTGATTACATTTAATGATAAATTGTATATTTTAAATTGAAGTGAAACACCGGTCAAAAGATAGGGTGTGACTTCATCATATTTGCACGAGGGAAGTCAGGAAGTAAGAGGGAAGAAAGAGTAAGGAGAGAAATTTTTGCCAACTCGCCGCGCCCGAACCGTTAGAAAAAATTCAACACTCCGTTACGCCTTCTCATATTTTTTCACAGCATCAATAAACGTTGAGAAAAATATTCAACATACGTGCGAATACCGGTGAACAACTCAGGACAAATATCTCCAAGCTTCTGTGAAGTTGAAAACGCACAAGGCAGACAAAATTAGCCTACAAAAAGAAAAGGAAGACAATTCACGTTGACTAAAGCCGGCAAAAAATTTATCTATTAATATTATTACAAAGCAATAATTAATTTGTTGTTAAGACTTTTTTAATCGTCATTTCATATATTGTTGAGTCAAGTGAGAAAAAAAACAACGAAGGCTTCAGTCAGTATCGACAGATATTTGTCAGATTTTCTAAGCAACGAAGGAGACTAGTCAACGGTATGTCGGCCATGCGCTCTCGTTTAACTTGAACAATTATTAGTTATACATAAAACGTGACTGCTATAAATTTGCTGACAGTGTTTTGTAATCAAGAATATCAATGAATGTTTGAATAACTGTAACTAAAGTAACTAAATCATTGACTTTTGACGAGAATATTTTTCTATATAATTATCACAATCATGTCGTGTGAATAGTTTTGCAATAGTTTCTTTTTTTTTTTCGTTTTTAAAATCACATTGTGTCTTATCAGTTTTTTGCACAATGTATTCGATAGGAATCGTTGTACTTTTTTCACCAAGTCATTACTTTTTCTGTCAAAATGATACTTTTTCACAATTAAACTGTAATTAGGTGAGTTAATTTCTATCCGAGTAGAAAACTCAGATTACGAAAGAATTTTGTAGCTGGAAAATATGACTTTCAATCGATTAATTCTAAACAAAAAAGAAACAAATTAATGAAATTTTTTTTTTCTTTTATAAAAAAGTGATGTTTTTAATTTGTCATCATGATTATTAAAACACAGAGTTTTTTTTTTATCTACCTAAAACTTTATTTTCTACAAACTTCTCCATGATTGTGATTACATAAATCAATAATTACTATCTATTTCAATCTAGAAATAGAATTAATTTTTATCTCTTTTTATTATTTATTAAAAAAAAACTAATTTAATGATAATATGCCAGACATGATTAATAATTCGATAAAATTCCTTCATTTACACATGACAATAACAATCGGAATCCTCATTTATTTGAAAACAAAATTTTGTAAGTGAAAATGTGAACTTTAGAACTTCTAAGATATAATTTCTGTTATCAGATTTTATCTAAGACTCAGGCAATTAATACTAATAATCATTTCACTATCACTAATATTACTTTTATCATAATAGTCAGAGGTTAAATATTTTTGATAAATTTTCAGGTTTTAAATCAGCATAAATAATACATACAAGATGTTACAACTTTCTCCAGCCTACATGGAACGATTCCAGCCCAACTATTCGTATATGTTTGAATTTGAAGAAAAATTTATGCATCAAAAAACACGTGACTGGATGGTAGATCATTGGCAAACCTCGGTCTACTCTGGTGCTATTTATGTGGCACTTATATTTTTTGGTCGCCAATGGATGGCTAATAGACCTAAATATGAGTTAAGAGGATTATTAACATTATGGAATCTTGGACTTGCCATTTTTTCAATCATGGGAGTTGTCAGGACTGCTCCAGAATTTTACCATGTGCTTAAAAATTATGGTTTCCATCATAGTGTTTGCGTACCAAGGTATGATATTTATATATTCATCAATTAATTCATAAGCTTTAGGAATTTTCCACAATTACGCTCATGTTAATCATATTATTTTTGGAAACATTTAAAAATGTTGTATTGTTCTTTTTCTATAGAAAGAATTTCTATATACATAAAAAAAAAACTCAGACTTATCAGAATATTAAGTAGACTCAATCAAGACACAATTTATCAGATATAAAAAAAACAAAGTCTAATTTATGAGTATTACTCACTTTATTTGTAATTCAAATGATGCTAAAGACTACTATTTGAATAAAAAAGTTATCTTAAAATAAAATGCAAGTAAAGTATTTATTCGAGAAATGTGTCAGTGAATATTACAATGTATTAATTTACAAAAAAAGTTCATCTTTAGTGTCATGAATTAAATAGATTCATTATTTCTTGTAATAAAAGCAAGCATAATGATTTTTTTTTTGGTCTTACAGCAATCACCTTTATTAACCTGATTTATTATTAATGAATTTTTTATGACAGTTGTCATTAAATTAATTTAATTTATTTCCGGACTAAATTATTCAAAACATATTAATTTATCTTCGAAAGATTGCTTGACAAATTTGGAACTAAATCTTTAGACTTTCACAATAAATTCAAAAACAGTATGATAAAGATCAAAGAGCTACTACCTATGACCTATTGATGATACGGGTATGAGCAGGGTTAAGATTTAAATCATGAAGGAAGCAAATTGAACTGTTTTACACTTAAAACAAGACTTAGCATGCGAATTAAATCAATTAAATTCTACTATGGGTCATTAGGACACGTTTGAATTTCATATTTCGAATGTTTATTGTTTCAGTTTTATGTATAATCGAGTGTCTGGTTTCTGGGTATGGGCGTTTGTCTGGTCAAAACTGCCGGAATTAGGAGACACAATCTTTATTGTTTTACGAAAGCAAAAATTGATCTTCCTACATTGGTATCATCACATGACTGTGCTAATGTACGCCTGGTTTTCGTACACAGAGTATGCAGCAACAGCTCGTTGGTTTGTTTTTGTAAATTACAGTATTCATGCCATGATGTATACTTACTATGCTCTTAAAGCAATGCGTTATTCGCCACCGCAATGGATAGCAATGATGATCACAGCCCTCCAAATTATACAGATGGTTATTGGTGTTACAGTAACTGTCGGTGTTTATATGTACAAGGCCTATAATCGACAAGATTGTCATGTTACAATGCTCAACATACTATTAAGTACATTAATGTACGCCAGTTACTTTGTACTGTTCTCGAAATTTTTCCATGAGGCCTATTTAAGTGATAGAAAACCATCAAAAAGTCTACATAAAGCTGCAGACAGCAGAGTTGATGATGAATATAGTAATGGTAAAGTTAAGAGAAATTAAATTCTGAATGAATGTTTATTAATATCAAATGGACTCTGATAAAAGTATCGGCAAGGAGCCTAGACTGAGATATCATTGCCGTTGAGTGGGAAGAAATAAAAAAAAAAAAAGTCTTCACCAGACATGAAACATGCACTTTTAGCTAAAAACGCACCAAGAAACTTCGTTCAAAGTTCGGAGATTCAGAATATCTAATGATTTTTAGAATATTTCTCGCTCAATGTCATAGCACAAATCATCTTGATGACCGTAAGTGAATGGTAAAGAATAATATCAACGAAAATGATCATTTGGATAAAGATACGTGATATATTTATATTTATTTTAGCTCATAGAGAGTGGAACAAGGCATACGTATTTCGATGTAATCGTCTTTTGAAACCGGTCTCTCATTTATTCTTTTTCTCTTTTTCTTACTCATGTACTAGCTCTCTCAGAGTCGTCGACCATCGATATTTTTCTTAGTTCCGTAACTAAATGTGACTTCACTTTATCTGGTATAACCTACTTCCGTCTACTATCCTGTGACCTCAAGTAATTTACGAAAAAAAAACGCACTTTGCTAAAAGTACATTAGTGTCGTGTTTATTAAATCTTACGTAATTTATGTGTTCAATTGCTAAGTGAAAATAATTCATTTCTACTTACTGATATAAGGAGAAACAATTTTATTCTATTTTATTAATTTAATAAAAATGTGATAAAGTAATCGTACTATGCAATAATTGTGACACATACGTTTTTATTTTATAAATTATATAGCATGTGTCTCAGGTAACTTATTTACTATAATTCCTATTGTAATTTAATAAAATTGTTTCTCCCTGTAAATATCATTATTAATATTATTATATTAAATTGCAAAACATGCAATGATGAGAATTTAATTTACGAAATGGTAAATATAAAAATACCAACTTCCTTTTATTTAATCATAATCTTGATAATATTTTTTATTATTACTTTTTTGAATTATTTTTCCGCTATATACGTACAATAATAAAAACAACAATCATTTCAATGAAAGTAAAAAAGAGAAAAAGAAAAGAATGAAGTTAAAAAAATTGATTAATATAAATTAAGGAAAAATCTGGAGAGAATTTTTGCAATTAAAGAAGCAAAATTTCATATTAAAATACCATTCAATCTCGGTCATCAATTATTAACGCCAGTTTTATTAAATTAAAAAAAAAAAAGTAAAAATTTTTCATGCAAATTATTTAAACGAAAATAAAAAGTGATAGTTAAAAAAAAAGAAATAATAAAGAGAAAGGTAATGAAAGATGTAAATTGTATGGATTGTGAATAATATTAGCTAGTGGAGCCTTGAAAAAAATGCAATGATAAAAATATTTTAGCTGGTAATGAATATGTTCATTATATGATTTGTTTATCATTTATACAAATGATGACCATTCGAGTCACACACGTGAGCATTGTTATATCTGTGAATGAATTAAAGTCAAGTTGTATATATGAATGGTTGTGAGAGTGAGAGAAGAAAAAGAGTGAGCGAGAGTGCGAGAAAACCTAAGAAAGACCAAAAGAGGAAACTGCTCGTACATAATTTTTATTTTAAGTATGACTTTGTAATGGTGTTAATGGCTGTAGTTATTTATAATAATAATTACGATAATAATTAATTAATATTAAAAATAATCATAATTATTATAGTTAATATAAATGGGGGTATCTAATTAAAAGAAGAAAAAAAATGGGAGATAATGCTAAAATTTATTATAGTGATGTAACAATTTAGACATGTTTTTATTGTGAAAAAAATCCCCAAAACAAAATGCATGTAGGAAGTTGGCTTTTTAGGGGGAAACAAAAGAGAAAAAAAAACATTCAAATTGTTTATATAAATTCGTAATTTAATTTTTAGAATTAAATGAAAATATATATTAAAATTAACTGCTATTGTAAGTAGTTCTAATTGTTTGTTTCATTATAAGATAGTATTTCTGAATTGCGTGATTGAAAAGAAGACTTAATTAAATTTGTATATCTATCTTAAAGCGCGCAGGACGCGCCAGATGAATCGATAGTTTGGATTATCCGCAATATTTGGATTAAATAAAATAAATATTAGGGTTTTTGATTAAAAGAGAATTGTCAATAGCTTTATCAATTGTTAGTCTCTTTAGTCTCCCCCAACAAATTAAAAGTTGTTCAAGTTGATTGTAATTATATTTTAGGTAGTTTTTTATAGATCAAACTTTTGTTTATTCAGAAAATATACCAATAAATGATCAGTCTTGTTTCTTATTTAGACATTTACGATCAATGCAAGTTAAATTTGAATGTCAAAGAGACATTAATTCAAGCATAATTAACATCTTAAAAAAAAAAGTCTCTCGTGGTTTTAGAGACTTTCATTTATCTTTTAAGTGATCATACGCATCTGGAATGTGTTTAAATTTTTGTAATAAATTGTATGTAACGATTTTATGAACAAAGGAGCTTTAATATATCATTTAAAAAATAGTTTTTAACTTATTTATGACCTTAACATCTTTTTAACTAAACTAAAGTGTCTGTAAAATAATTTTAGCAAATATCTTGAATCTTTTGATAAAAAATTAAACAAATTATTGCTTCTATTAACATAAATTTAAAAATAAAGTTAAATTTTTTGATAATAATTTTGTTACAGGATATAATCAAGGTCGTTATGTAACAAATGATGAGAAAAATATGGTTTAAAAGAAATAAAATAATGATATAAAATATAATGAATATAACAGTTGAACACACATGCACCAATCGTTGACTAAAATATTGTGTAATGACTCCGGAAATAAGATCTGTAGATTTTTCATGATAAATGTCACAGAAAAACAATCCATGTTTTTTTTCTATTTTATTATCACCATGTTTGTACGTAGTATACTGATTAATTGTTAATAAGTTCTTGAATTTATTATTTAGACACACTCTGAACTCATTGATAATTATAAATTGTTATTTTATAAGTATCTTTTGCATAGAATGGCTATGCACTTGGATACTAATTTGACGGTTGACCCGGAAGACTTGCTTCAATAACTGACGTAAATGCAGACACTAAGAAACCTGCTTCTGTTTATTTTTGGAGTTTACTCCACCATCATTTGTGCTCAAAGTCTACAGTTGACATCAAGAATATTGATCATTCCTTAATTTATTATTTTGATGGATAATATTAAATTCTGTCAATGAGTTTAATATTTTCAATGAATAATCATGTCTCAGTGGATTATTCAAGTTTCTTCTTTGTTATCAAATTTCTTTTTTTTTTATTCCATTATTTACATAAAAATATCTATAAATTTCGTGTCATTAGATAACAAAATTTATGTGACGAATGTCTTAAAGACCTGTTAAAATGTGGTTTACCTCACATTATTTACAAAATATAGCATTTGTCATTCAACAAAAAATTATTTTAATATTTTTCTGCAGCACTTGACATTGTACTTTGCCTAACACTCTATTCGACCGGTTTTACAATCAATATTTATTGGTAAATAAAAACTAACTCTCTCAGTGTAGGAGTGACTGATGAATAATTATAATTTATGTCAATAATATGTTTCTAAATACTACAAGTTTTCTATGAATTTTATCTTACATCTATCACTAATTATTATTTCAAGTGTAAATTGATTATGAAGAGAATTTACTACTAATTATTCGATGTAACTTTTTTGATTCATAAATTAAATCGTATTTTTATACTTGTTGAATTATTGACGTATATATCAATAAGTTCAGAAAATAAGCATTTATAAATACTTATTATATTTAATTTTTTTTTGAAATGAAACTCTTTATTTTTGTTTTGATAAATGATCAAGAAAGAAATTACAACGTTAATTATCTGATAGAGACTATTATGATAATCATTACATAATTCATTCTATTAAAGTTTAATTTTTTTGTCGTCAAACGAAAAATTACTGATATTTTTGTTCGAAGTACTTACTGTATTTACGTTATTTTAGACGTTCATTTTCATTAAATAAACTGTAATTGACCAAATAACTCAACATCATTATTATTGATGACTTACAAGATTACTTTAAAATGTCATGTAATTTTTTATGTTCATAATCCAATATCAATAGTTGAATTATTATAATTTGAGTACTCATTTGCTTTCATAAAGAAAATCATGTCTTAAATAATTCTATCGTTGAAGTTTTTTTTTATTTTTTCATCCAAATAGTTTTTAAAAATCCTAAAATAATATAATATTTAGATGGCAGTCTTTAATTGCTTATTTTTAATATCAAAAATATATTATTGATAATATTAGAAAACAGTTGACATTGAAAATTAAAAAAAAAAACAATTGAATTAAACATTTATTCTAATCAATAAAGTCCAAGAGTTGAAAAATTTATGAATAGTCAATGAATTAATTAATAAAAACTTCACTACTAGTTTTACTAATTAATCAAAGCAAATAATTTGCAAAGATTTTTAAACAATCTTATAGAATATATTTAAATAATGTAAAATAATTATACATTTACAACCTTACTGATAATAAATCTAAATTATTTATTGCTTTCTTTATTCTCCTTGCCCCATTCTTCAGAAACGTATTTTAAAAGATCAGTTAATCCATCAAATTCAGTTCTACTTTGTGGTGGATCATTTCTAGGAATCCGAGGTAAAATGGATCCCATTTTTTCTCTAAATTCTTTGAAATTAGTCGCTCCAGATAATTTCCAAATTCCATAACATATAAGACCACAACCAGTAAATGCATAAAGTGTGCCTCTTCTCAAGGCTCGAAGGGCTAAAGAAACTCCAGCTTCCTGAGTTCCTACACCAGCTACTCCTTCTTGAAAGAATTGTGGATCTCGTTTTCTTGCTGATGCTAGTGTCGTACCAAACCCTATGATTGCCGATATTCCCGTAACTGTTCCAAGAAATATAAGACCTAAAAAAGATTTTTAATTAATTTCTGAGCACCAAGTAATGAATATTATTATTTATTGAGTCTGATAATTACAATCAATTACTCGTCAATTAATAAATTGAAAATGGATTTATAAAACATTCAGAAAAAGTACTGAGAGCCAATAGTTTTTTCTAAAAATTATAGTTAATAAAAAAATTTCACTTGTTGTTAACAAAAAGTAAGGTTAAAAATAAAAAAATGTATAATTTTATTGTGAAAATATTTACCAAGGCATAAGTTTTGACTTAAACTTACTATATAATTTATCAGGATTATTTGTTGACTTGTCAGCAAGTAATGACACATTATCTCTCTCATGTTTTAAATTAAAAGTTGGATTATTTACAAGAATGTTTTCTTCAGCCGCCATGTTACCATAAAACCTTTTTTTGATAACTCGATCAATTTTTTAGATAATCGCGCGAAAAATTGTTTCGCATTTTTGCACACCTAAGCGCTAGTAGTAATTTCTTTTGCTCGTTGGATAAACAATTTCAAACAAAAACGATTAAAAATTTACCTCCAATCAGCTGAGCATGACTGATCAATAAAACATACAGATATATATAAAAGATATTTTTAAAAAACATAGATACTGATTATAATTTAAATTAAAGCCACATTTATTTTTATTATGAAGTAAATTAATTTAATTTAGCTTACAGAAAATAGAGTTATCATTATTTACTAAGAATGGAAGGTTAGTATTAGTCGTTTGTGATTGTTTTTATATTTACATTATTAATTATTTATCAAATGTTTTATCGTCACTACTGAAGGCTTTCATTTATGGTTAATATTTAATAATATTAAGATGTTACAGAAAATGTTACAGAGCCACAGAAATATGATATTGAATTGCTAATCAAAGAGCTCAAAGAAGTAGTTGAGAATAAGGATGAGTCAGAGAGTAATCGTGATGAGCAAATAATTCAAAAATTAGATATTTTAGCTGATGCCGCTAAGGCATGTAAAGAAGGTAATTTATAATTTATTTTAATAGAAAAATAATAAATTATATTATCTGATACATCAATGGGGTATTGAAGTGGAATATTTTGTTCGTAGATGAAGTTCCGATTACCCTTGATAATGTGTTCCTCACTCTTCTAACTCATGACTCAAATGTCATCTTAGCAAAAACAGCCAAAACTATAGCAGAAATAGCACAAACTGATTTAGGTCGAGAAAAATGTACTCAGAGTAATTTAACTACGAAACTGATGGATTTATTGAAAGGCGATGACGTTAATATTCTTATTCAAACGTCTAGAGCACTTGGCAACATCTGTTACCAAAATGGTATGAATCATATTTATTTTCATACCAACTTGGAATAATTCGAATTATGGATTAACTACTTATTTTATCATTTATACCCGATTTATTTCACTATTTTTCATTTATTTTAGAGGATGGAAATAAGATGGTACAAGAACATAATGGTTTGAAATATATTTTAAAAGTATTATCTCGTGGAGTAAACCTCGGACATGCTGAAGGTGCCGAATTTTTGAGAATTGTCGCTGCTGGATTTTTATTAAACTATCTTGTTGATCAAGAAGCTTTACAGAACGAAGTAAATAATTATAATAGATTGTAAAATATAATTATTTTTTGAAGCAATTTTAACAAGTATCTTCTAGGCAATAGAACAAGGGGTAGTTTCACTTCTCTGTGATGTCTTAGAACTCGATGGACACGAAGCGAGTCAATCAGCAATGCATACTCTGCTAACATTAGAAATACTTAATGAAAGTGGAATTCATTTCCTAGATGAAAGACTTACAAGAGTATTAGTTAATATGCTAGGTAATGATACAGCATCTGAATTAGCAGCAATTTGTCTAGAAGTTCTTCATGGCCAAGCAGAAAATGGTATTATTTTACTACCAATAATTAAAAAAAGTTTCATGCTAATGTAATCATTTAATCAATTAAAAATATTTTTAAATTTTGCAGAAAGTTCAAAAATGTTATTAGCTAAATCGGGAATTTGTCAATTATTATTAAGGCTTCTAGAAAAACATGTAACAGAATGTGTCAATGAAGAGACTAGAACCGTACTAAAAGTAGCATGTAATTTAATTGTATTAATTATAACTGGAGGTAATATTAAAAGAAAATAATCAACCAATTAGTTGAATAGAAGCTTCTAAAAATATATATATCAATTGTTATGATATATTTTCAGATGAAAGTATGAAATATCTCTATGGAAAAGGTAAAGGAGCTGTTTATACCAAGCTTATAACATGGTTGAGAAGCAACTTTGATATTGATCTCCAAATCGCAGCAGTACTAGCCATGGGTAATTTTGCCCGAACTGATGCTCACTGTCAATTTATGATAGACCAAGGTGTTCACCAAAAATTATTTCAACTCTTGAGAGAAAATAGCGGCAGCGATGGTGATATTCGTTTCCAGCATGCTCTACTGAGTGCAATCCGCAATCTTGTAATTCCAATAAGAAACAAGCCAATCATGCTAGCTGAAGGTCTCATTGATGTTGTCTATCCTATGTTAAATATTCCAACATTTCCAGTAGTCTTCAAACTGTTGGGAACATTGAGAATAGTCATAGACAAACAACAACATGCGGCAATTGCTTTAGGAAAGAAGGACGATTTAATTACGAAAACTATTGAATGGTGTAAAACAGAAGACCATCCTGGTGTTCAAGGAGAAGCTAATAGATTGATTGCCTGGTTGGTTATTCATAGTAAAAATGCAGACGTTGTTTATTCTATAATTAATCATGGTGCTATTAAATACCTCGTAAAAATGATAAATGGATCTCATTCTCTTATGCAGAATGAAGCTCTTTTAAGTTTAGTCATTATAACATCTACTGCTCTCGGTAAATGTGAAAAGGATCTTATTGATGCTAATATTGGAGAGGCTTTAAGAAAATTTTTCGAAGATAAGGTTCCAATGATAGAAGCTCCAATGTTAGAAAATGCAATTACTCTCATTTTAACTATAATTCAATCAGGTGAGAATTATTTTTATTAAATATTTAAAAACTATTTACATAATATTATTATTTATTGATTGTAGATGATGTCAAAAAACATATAAAACAATCAAATTTACTCCAAGTCGTGGATGGTCCAAAGATGTCAAACAAATCGAATAGTATGCTTGAGAATAAAATAAAAAAAATGATTAATCAACTTATGGACTGAATGAAATATTTAAGCAGACTGATTATAAAATAACAAGAGATTCTGTCACAAGAAAAATAAAATTTAAATTCCTATTTTTACTACCTTAAAGTTTATCAAAAGAAAAAAAACAAACAAACGCAACAAACCAAAAGATGTATTACTTTATATTTTTGAGGTATCTTAAAGATAATTTATTATTCAAGAAAGTAATAGAATTATGTCAATTTAAATATTTCACTAAAAATATATAAATATATACATATACATAAATAAGTAATCAAATTAAAATAAAGATTAAGCGCCATCTGAAAGTGGAATGTTCTAAAATAAAGTAAAAGAAGAAAAAAATGTTTATTTTTTAATTTAAATGTCTTACAAAATGTTCAAATCAACAGCTGTTTTTATAGATAAATGTTTTTTTTTTCATATAAGTATAAATAATTAATTACTTGAAATAATTGAAGCATCGTAAAAATTATAATTTGTGATAAAATATCATTTTTTTACTTTAATTTGAAATAATGATATAACTCAAGTTTACTTAAACTTCATGTTTTTATGACCTTTGATCTTTATTCAAACATATCAAAAACGCAACACTGTGATAAACTTTTTGTTCATTTGAAAAGAGGAATGGAAAAAAACTAATAACTAATTAGTGATTTTAATAATCAAATCATTTTATAGTCAAATATTAAAATGAGCTTTTTAACAAGAGCTAATGGATTGATTGACGATAGTGTTGAAGTACCTTTGGAAACTACTCCAATAAGACTTCGTTCGAATCCTGGAGGTATGAGAATATCTAAATTATTTATTTTATCAATTAATTTTATAATAAAAATTAATTTTGTTTTAAAATTGAGACAAGGAATCAGCAAAATAAATTCATCAGTAAAGTGTTGTCAGTTAAAGGTTACTTTACCAACCAACTGATCAAAGCTTTCTAAATCAGTGATAATTGGCTCATTTAAAAATATTATTATTTAATTTACCAACCTGTTCTAGGAACCAACACTATTGGAACTATTTTTTTAATCATCAATGCAACCCTTGGAGCTGGACTACTCAACTTTCCTCTAGCCTTTGATCAATCTGGAGGAGTAGCATCAGCAATAATAGTGCAATTGATCTTTTTGGTGTTCATTGTTGCTGCTCTAGTCGCCCTAGCAAATGCCAGTGACATTACGAAGACGTCATCAATGCCAGATACCCTAAGTGGTTTATGGGGACCAAAAGCTTTACTAATCTGTGGGATATGTGTTACCATCTACAGCTTTGGATGCTGTTTGACCTTTATCATCGTTATTGGAGACCAATTTGAAAGGGTTTTAGCTACTTACTATGGAATGGATTATTGTCATAATTGGTAATAATCATCTAAATACAATTATTCAACAGAATTAATTATTTACCAATTCATGAGTATTTTGTTGTTTGATATTTTCTAGGTTTTTATCAAGAACATTTATTACAAGCATCATGTGTACTGTTTTTATTCTACCTCTGAGCTTCTTCAAAAGACTAGATTTACTAAGCTATGTGAGCTCTATTGGTTGTGTCACTATTTTGTATGTAGTTTGGGTAATAATTTATGAGAGTATTAGTGATCCTAATTATCCAAAACCAACTCAGGAGTGGCCAGAAGGTGTAAACCAGGCTTTTCAAATAATTCCACTCATTTGTTTTGCTTATCAGGTACAATTATTTTGATAATCTTAAATCTATTGAATAAATAGTTACTAAACATAGATATTTTTAATTATAAATTTATATTTTTCCTATCATTTTTAACTTTAATTGTTTCAATCATTCATCATTATAAAATTATTATTTATAATTTAATGCCCATCTTTTAAATCACAATTTTTCACTCATCTTAAAATCATTGAGAATAATAATTATATATAAATAAAATTCATAAATAACTTTGTTAAATAATTTCAAAAAATAAACAAATTGTTTTTTAAATAAAAGAAATTAATTTGTTGAAAAATCAATAATGTTTAAATATTGAAAGAAAACATTAATTTATATAGAAAAAAAAGAAACATATACAATCTTTAATACTCAAATATTACATTCAAATATCACCAATAATTTTCTGTCTTTGTTCTCTTCCAGAGCCATATGACATCAATTCCAACTTACGCATGTATGAAAGATCGTAACATATGGAAATTCACCTGGTGTGCAATAATTAGTATGGCTGTATGTTTCTTATGCTATACAATTGTTGGGATTTTCGGATACAACAGCTTTGGTATGGGTCATGTACCAAGTGATATTCTTCAAGGATACTCGGATAAAAGTGTTTCCCTAGCGATTGCAATAATTGCTATAGCAGTGAAGAACTTTACAACGTATCCAATTGTTTTGTTCTGTGGCCGGAATTCACTGCTGGGTCTTTTTCATGCAGATGTAGAGCACAATGCCACTATTCGAGCTGCTGTAACTCTTCTTTGGTTTATTTTATCACTTGTCATTGCCATTGTTGTCTCAGATATATCACCAGTTATAAATTTAATGGGAACACTCTCAGCTGCATTTATATTTGTTTTTCCTGGACTTTGTTTATTACAAAGTGTTCTTGTTAAAGATCCACCATTATATTTGAATAAAAATCGATTTCTTATTTTTGCTGCTATTGTAATGACTGCGTTAGGTGGATTTGTGTGTGGACTAGTGTTTGTTCAGTCAGCTGAAGTTTTTTTCAACGTTCCAACAGAGAAAAAACATGTTACAGTGCTGAGGATAGGTTTTGGATCGAGTTTATGTGTTTGAAAATAAAAAAAATATATTTGTTTGATGAATTATTGCAAAAGTTTTGACAATGCTGATTTCAATTAAATTTAAACGATAAATAGATCTCCAAAGACTTTTGCAAAAAATTCATAAGAAAAGTGAATTTAAAAAATGAAAAAAAAAAGAAAAATAACAGTCTAGACTGAAAGAATGTGATTAAAAATTTCGTATTGTAAGCAGTTAATTATTAAGGATTAGCATAAATAAATTTTATATATTCATTTTTCATGGTATTTTCAATATTCTTACATTAAATATCACGATGTAGTTGAGGAACTAGATGGGATAAGACTAGTTGTAAAGTCGTGCAATATTGCACCTTCAAGATCATACACTTGAACAATAATAGACTTGCAGAAGAAACACTCGCGGTTATTCAGAAGATGTCTATCAATGCAAACACGACAGGATTGATGATTACAAGGCTTGAAAATTGCTGCTACAGAATAAGCGTAACAAATAGTACAAGTATCATCATCATCACTGATAATTCTGTTATCCGGCAGCAATGTACGTTTTTTATCCAGGTACGTTATCATTTCTCGAACACTTTTTATTTCCCTCTCACTAACGGCATCTTTGTAATTCTCCAAAGAAAATGGTTTAACATTTTTTATCTTTCCATTCTTTGTTGGACCTTCACCCAGCACAAAATGTAGTGAATTCATTTGAAAGCTTGGCTCTGTTAGTAAAATTCTTGTGACGTTTGGAACTAAATCGACAGATTTAGTGGCATTCTCCATATCTTCTTTCAAAAGAGCCAATAAAATTCCAACAACTGCTGTGAGAATTGGAAAATGATCAACCGCGTCTAAATCTGGGATGTCTAAAAGCACCACATGTTGAAAGCAACTAGTTTGAGAACTAATTCGGTTCAATATTTGACACAATAATTGACAAAGTCTTGAAAGAAGATTTCCACTAGATATTTGTTGAGGATTATTAAAAATACTTGGAGCCACAGTGGTGATCATTTCAACAACTCTGAGCAAAGATATAGCTAAATCAAAGCAAGTTGCACAAACTTTCAGTTGTCGTGACTCAATAAATACTCTCTCCGGTCTTGAAGACACATTATAGATCTCCTGTACCATTCCAATAAATTCAGAAAATGCCCAGTTCATTTGATTAAGCAATGAATTGAGAAACTGCAAAGTAGTTCGTGGATGTGCTAGGAGTAATTCTTTCACGTGCATTTGATAAATTGTTGATGGACAAGGTTTAATAGGTTGTGAAATTGACTCTTGTTGAAGCATCTTAGGGCCAACTTTCTTCGATAAATGAGGACTTTTATCATATCTAAAGGCAAAGCCATTTCCTTGCCAGAATCTTACCAGAACCCAATTAGACTGAGCCCAGGCGCGGTTCTCGTAAGGACGTAAAATATTCCTTACAAGTTGAAGTCTTGACTCTTTAGGTATTTGTTCAAGAGCTTGAAGAGTCAATGAATTAGAGGTAAATCCAGCTATAGTTAGAATTAAAGTATCTTTGGCGATTGCATGGACAATTCTAGCATCTAGAAAATGATCACAAAGGAATTGAGCAATTTCTTTAAGCATATCTTGGTAACCAAGTATCTTTTGAATAGGTACTGTTGGATGTAAATGATTTTTAAGTCCACTACATAAATCTGCTAGAGCTTCCAAATAAAAATAGGGAACAAAACGAAACATATTCCCCTCTTCACTAGCCTTTCTAAGTGTTAAAATAACAACTTTCAGAAGCCAAGCTAATTGAGCTTGTTTCTCTTCAGAATAAACAGCTGCTCTTACCCAAGCCATGTGTCGAGCTTGTTCAGAGAGTTTTGAATTAAAAACTTCCATCGTTCTAATCAATTCTTCCTGTATAGAATCTGTGTTTGAATCTTTATCTTTTACTTTTTTAACGACTTCTAATCGTGCTTTGACATCAGACATTGCTGATATATACTCCGACATGCTGTCTCTTAAATTAGCTACTTTAGCTATTTGTTTTTTCGCAGCAGCATGATAGAATAAAATAATACCATCCAAGAGTTCTAAAAGAGATAAAACAGAGTCTGCAGTACCAAGGCGAATGGGAATCTTATCTTCTTGTAAGTAAGAAGAGTATCCGAAGACTAGCGGTGATAGAGGAGTAGTAGGATTAGTATTAAGCATTCTCGTTGATGTTGGTATCAGCATGGGAAGTTCATTCATATGACCCGGACCACCCATGAATGTACTCGTTGACTCTTGAGTCTGGTTCATAGCTAGAATTACTTCATGATTAGATCCCAGTTTATAAATTAATTCATTCTTGTAAGTTTTATTGAGGTAAGATAACACTCCTCCTAGTCTATCAATTCCATTGTAATTAATTGAAGCATCATAAAACAGTTTGCAAGGAATGTGGATTGGTTTCGTACCAACTTCAGCATCCCATAAAATACGAAATGCCACTAGAAGTCGATGAAAACAGCAAACAGTTATTTGTAAAGGTGTGCGATTGGATAATAAATTTTCTTGAACAAATCTTCGGAATTTTTTTAAAAATATAGACCTTGAAGATGGCTTTTTTGATGTTCCATCAGCATTATTTAACAATGTAATTAATAAATCTACTTGTAGAGTTTCAATTTCTGATATAGCAGCTTTAATTCGTTCACATGATTTTATATAACTATCCCGATTAACTTCAACTGATGAATCTATCGGATTTGTTTCCCACCATGTTTTTTGAATTATTTCAGCAAGGCCTCCTTCATCTAAAGGTTTAACATGAATAAAATTAGCAAAACGTACTCTGTCGAACAGAATATTTTGAAGCAAATATTGACGTGTAGTTGAATGTCGACAGAGATTGGTTAAAATGATCAAACTTTTGCATTGATCTGGATACTCTAGTAACAAAGAGACATGTCTAAAAGCTGATAATAGGTAAACAACAGTATTTTCAAGGCATATTTTCATTTCGTGGTCTTCTAAAAAGGTCCATAATATATCTAAGAAAATATTAACTTTTGTGTTTATATCTTTTGACGAATTTTCGATGAGTCTTTGAAAAAACGGGAGGAAAACAGCTTCCACCACATAAGGAACTACAAGCAATGGTGCTAGTTCACTCATAATTAATCTGACAATACACATCAGGTACGTACGAGCATTCATTGACTTTTCTGCTACTATAAAGCCATAATCAGAGCTCTCTAATAAATTTATTACATTTTCTAGCCATTTAAAGAGAATATTTGCCTTTGAAACTCGACCTCTAGGTGTTAACTGTAGAGTTTGATATCCTTCAATTGGATATCGTAAAGGAGTGGCTCCGAAATTGGCTGTTAGGTTTTCTGTAAAGGCTAAACTCACCGTTGGGAAGTAGGCGATACCAGTTCCAACTGTTATGTTCTCAAATGCTCTTCCCAAGTGTCTTCCATTACGATAGAAGTCAATAGTACCATTATCCATGTCCAAAGCACATCCAATTATATCACCGGACAGCCAAGGTTCTCCATATTTATTAGTAGACACGTTCCACTTTCTTACACGATTTCCATCATAGGAATACGAGTTAACTGTGTCACCTACTCCACATTCTTGACTGAATTTGCACTGAAGGGTACCCCAACCAACTTGCATCACACCTTTCGAGCCTAATTGAAGCTCGTACATCCATTTGCCACCGTAAAGACATGTGTTTGCTCTTAAAGTACTAAAATTGCTCTGGGAATTGACACTAAGGCGATCTGGTGATACTATTGTGAGTCCATGGTGCGATAAAATATCAAAATGGACTATTTTAGGTCCTAATCGTCCAGGACGTGTATCTTCTAGCTCTTCAGATTTGGATATTTCTTGAAGGGTTGAAGAGATGACTTCTTTGACAACGTTCAAGCTTTGCAGTATTCTAAATTTTAATAAAAATTGAATTTTTATTCGATGAGTGAATAAATTATTATCGAATTAATATTAATGAATATTAATGACAGGTGATGAAATAATATTAAATATTGATTACCTTGAATGCCCATCTGATTTTGTACTTGATGGAATATTGAATTCAATGTTAGTTTCAGAGCCAAAAATATTTGTCAAAATATATTCAACCTCCATTTCTACATTTCACAAGTCATTTCATTCTATTGATTAGATTTATACCTAAAAAATTTAATTCACAGTATCATCAATGAGACTTACTTAATACAAGATAAGTAGATAAAATATTCATAAGCTTCAAAGTAGAGAATTTTTTTTTTAAATTACATTGCATATATAAATGTCACAGTTTAATTTATGTTTATTCATAATGAATAAAAAATTCTTTTCTATATATTTAATAAAATTCATTAGAATATTGATGAATAACATTTAACAATAATTACGAATAATTTTATTTTTACGTATACTTTTGAGAAATATTTTACATAACCTCAAATGACATAACTAAAATTGTGTACCAAAATGTTTTGGCGCTACATTCGATCAAGCATTGTATACAATAAACACAGTTTCTATTTTATTTATCCAACGTTATAATTTGTTTATTAATTATCTAATTATTTATAATACTTTTTACTTTGTTTAACCTATAATTTACTCAATTAATTCTTTATAATTCAACAAATTCCAAACAAAGAAAAAAACAGATCATCATATTTTTTAACTAATTTTGACTTTAAAAATAATTAAAGAAATAAATTAATTATGATAAATAATTGAAAATCAATTATATATTTAAATAAGTACATATTTATTTTTATGAATTTCTTCTATGCTATTCTTGAAAATAACAAAATGTTTATATTAAAGTGCATGGTAGAGGGTTACTGAATAACAATAAAATATACAGTCTTGATATAGATGTATTTCGTTATTTATTATCATCAACATTATTATTCTTCATTAATTAAAACATAGTCGTTCATCAAAAAGCCCACTTGAATTCATTGTTCATAAAAATCACACATTAAATCATACACTCGAATCATCATACAACTGTAAAATGATAATCGACAATTAATTAGACAGATATTATAATTCGTTCATTACATATAATTATATTGAAAGTAGAAAAGTTTTATACAAATAGAAACCTTGATAATCATTTAATTGATTAATAATGAATAAATCTTAAAATTAAACTTAAAAATGAATTTTAGAGCGTTTCATCATATTTAGGTATATATCGTACAATATTAATTAATTAATTATTTAATTAATATTTATTGGGGAATAAGCGGCAGGGTTTTTTTACGCTTTGGTTTCTCGTCATTATTATTATTTTTGTTTTTTTTTTTCCTCTAAAATTATCTTTCACTCATTGATTTTCTATTTCTTTTTTATCAATATTGTTATTGCGGTGGGTTTAAAATACAACCTTATTGATAGGCAATGGTTTATATAAGACCTATAGAAGTATAATATGTCGCATTTTTTTATATTCAAGATAAATAATGTATTATAAATCACTATATGGACCGTTTGCGACTCAAGTAATGCGGAATATTCAGTAAAATGTATCGAAGAAATATTCTCCAAGAATATATAGGTTTACATTTGTTTCATTATCTATTATTTTCTCTCCGATTCTCAGTGAGTATGAATATGAATAAAATGTATATGAGATGTATTTTTATTAATGATTTACGATTTATGGATAATGATAGATGAATTTGTTTATCTTAATGTTAATATGACTTATATGAATTTATAAATCGTTGTAAAGAATTCATCAAGAATATTATCATTAATAGCTACATATTGTGTAATATGACAAGTGTATATATTCCTTCTTCCCTCTTGGAATTTTATCTAAAAACAGGGAAAAAGCTAAAAACTAGTACGACTTTGCCAAATGGCTATCACCCAGTCTCGATGAGATGTCACAATTGTAACTGTACATTCATCAGTTTATAATTAATGAATATATCGAACATCGGCTGGTCGTATACATCAGAAAATAATTCAAATAATAATTATTATCATTATTGGGTTGACGTTTCATCACTTTTTAAAATAATTCTTTTATCGATAAATATTCAACATAAACCTTGTAGTAATTTCATTTCATTCATTTTTCAATTAAAATCATTCATTAAAATATTTTTTTACAATTTCTGCATCAACCCAATGATTACAGGATTAGATTATTTATAACGATAATTAATAATGAATATTATTAATGAGATACATTTGTTTTTTAATGAGATACTGTAACTTTTTCTACCATCTATAATGGGCACCATTTAAATATAAATTTAATTCTTAGAGTAATATCAACTATTAATATGAAAACAACATCACGAAAATGATTGAAATTCGTGAGAATTAACACAGAAAGTTATTATTTTCTAATAATTATTATTATATATATATGTATACTGATAACGAAAGATTTAAAATTGATTAAATAAAAAATAAAATTTCGATTATGTCAATTATTTTAAAATTTATGAAATATTAATTAATGTTTCTAATGATATTTGAATACAGTTCGATGTAGATCAATAAACATACATCAGGATTTTATTTCCTGTATCTATTTTAGTATTTATTCTTCTTAGTATATTTACTTATTTTTATTCTTATTTCTCTGCGTCATTCAGTGCGATACGACTAGAAAAATTGTTTGTGGATCATTTGGTAAAAAAATAATACAACTGCGGAGTGTATTTTCTTATGGTAAAAAATAAACTCATACTATGCTGAGGGAAAAATTAGAACCTCATGAAAGGTTATATTTATTATTTCAATGTATCTTTAAAATAGTCTTTTAAAAATTATTTGACTTCTAGTATTAAATTAAATTAAATTTATTTATTAAAAAAAAATGATGACAGCCAACAACTTTTTGGATGATGTAATAAAATGTTTTACTTAAAATATTTTTTTTTAATTTTTGGTTTTAATTAATATTTTCCCCTCAGCACAGAGGAAAAAAAATACATTTGTATTATTTCCCTGCGTTATTTTCTTGTATTATTATCGTTATAATTTGTCTTTAGCATCCACTCTCAGTTCATCAGTAAAAAACCTCACTCTGGGCGGATTAGTCAATCGTTGATTAAACCGCATTAAAAAAATTCCTCATAAATTTTTAAAAATGGTCTGGTGTTTGTTTTTTTTTGTTTGTATTACTTCCATGTTTAAAAAATCTACGAAAATATGGCCACAACTAGTCATAATTAAACACACCCATTCATTCATTTTTTTTTTTTCAAATCAGTGTATAATTATATCAATCTTCATTATTCTTTCATCTTTTATTAGCATGATATATCGAACGAAAGCCGATAAATTCAATTCGCTTGCTCCGTACTCTGCACCTGCTGCTTCTCAATTTTCCTCGCGAGTTCTGGACTCATTTGAGGATGGGGGAAGGGGATGACGGGTTTGCGGAGAATCGTCGGCTTGACCTTAACCTGAGGTTTGAAGGAAGACACCTGTTGGCTACCGCCTGTGAGCCGCATGTCTGCAAACTTTGCGGCAATCATTGGGGTCGAGCGTGGTGGTAACGGTGAACGGAGCGGAACATTCTCAGATATTTCATTATTACTTGCTGACCTCACAATGTCCTTCGTCTCGACATGTTCGCAAGATTCTGCATCTGTTCCCACAAGGCTCTTAATTCTACTAGCATCCATTGAGTTATTGCTAGCATTGCTGGACTTGGTATTCTTCTTCAAGGTACACTGGTTTTGCTTAGCGAACCGTTCAGCTGCGGTGCTCATGTCTGGTGATTCTGGTCCATTACTTGGCGATCTCGCTGAATCACTTCTTACATGCAATAAATTTTCATCATCTGAGCTATTCAAACTACTTGAGGAAGCTGACTTTTTGCTTGCATCTTGAGCTGCTAAAGGCAAATCCATAACGAGATCAGGTGTATGCTTCTGCCTCATTTCACGGAACTCTTGAGAGGCGCGAATATTTTTCGATGTTGGTGGAACTATTGGTGGTAAATGAGTCTGAGAATTAGCTCTCTTCTGCCACAGTTCTCGATTAACAGAAAAGGTTATAGTTTCTTTATTGTTTTCATCTTTATTATCATTCACATGGTTTGATGGCTGTTGAGTATTTTCTGATTTCCATTGTTGCTGTTGCTTTTTGCTTAGTTGATTTGACTCTGAATTGTTAGCTAGTTGATCTTCAGTGTGATTTAGATCTGGATCGTCCAGTTGATCTTGATCACTTGTTGTAGACAGGGAGTCTAGAAAATCATTCACATTCTCACTCTCGTCGGATATATGCGTCGGTGCTTCCAAGGGATGTATTTTCTCGCTTCCTGGAGTCGGTTTCGCTGACGTCAATCCCTAGAAACCCAAATTAGGCCTCGTGAGTCATAGAAAAGTAGAATATTTAATGAGCTGTGTGAATTTATGTGTTATGACACTGAACATACATTAATATATTAATTATAGAAGAGCTTTTGATGATATGTTTATGGTCTTGGAAAGAGAAAAAAATTTAACACAGCTGAGAAATTTATGTTTTAAGCACAAATAACTACATTTTTTTTAAAAATAATTCATTATTAATACTTACATTTGCTAATTCATTATTAAATTTTTTTCTCAACATGAAAATAATTCGCAGGAAGCTGTGCTTAATTTTCAAAAAATTCTACAATTATCATGCTAAAACATAATTGACAATTTTAACTGAATTTTTCATGCTTTTTTAAACAAATATTTAACTTGATGAAAATTATCAATAGACTAATCATTTAATTAGAATTTTTTTTATCAGAGAATAAAAAATTATAATTAAATTTTAGTCTAAGTGATCTTATTTTTCATCAGATTATCATGAACAAACAGTAATTAGAAAAATAAGATGTTTGAATGGATAAAAAACTGTTCGCAAAACTGAATAGACTATTTAAAAATACACTACTGACTAATTTGAACAATTACATGTGATAATTATTATAAAGATGCTAGACAATAACAACAATAATTGACTGGATGAAATACCTATGGATATCTCTGAGGATACAGGTGTTGACGATGTTCAGGTGATTTACATAATTAATAATAAATATTTTTTTTGTTTTTAATAATTTAAAAAGGATTAATATGAATAAATGCGGAAGTGAGGGGAGTTGTTGGCGTAATGACGTGACTTTACTCACCTAAAGTCAAAGGACATCCGTTGGCTATGATCTTCTCGCTATTGGCATTCCCATTGGTACCGTCTAAGGATTCTGATTGTTCTACAGGACTCTAGGATTCACAAACCAACTGAACAGTCAATGCGCCACTCTCCCCTCCGTGAGTAATGACAATAAATCCAAATGTTAACGTTTACAGATTAAATAACAATGCAATTACAAACATTAACAATTGAATTAATTTTCACAAACATTATTAAATCATTACATTCAAGAATAACAATAATAATAATACTAGAAATGAATGAATTTGATTATAAGAAAAATTAATTAAATTTTTTTTAAAATTTTTTTTTAAACAAAACACGCACACAATAGCCACAAATAACACTGAGGTAGCAGTTTTGTCGAACAGTTTTTAGTTCCCGTAGAGTTTTCTGTCTTTTTAATCATGGAAACTTCGTGATAGAACTCGTCTGCACCAGCTAAATTTATGTGCTGACTAAACATAAATCTGGAAAAACATAGGAATAAAAAAAAAAAACACCCAACCAATGACAGTAAAGGGTTTTCCATGAGGGGCAAAATTACAATTTAAAGGCATTATTAAGAGTATGACAAGAGCATACAAGTATGAAAAACAAAGACATAAGACATGCAGAGCGTTAAATTTGACCGTAATTTTATATTTCTAGATTCATTTATTTACAAAAGTATCGTACAAATTGTTATACTGACTAAAATTAATAAGTTTAATTTTTTTTTTTATTCGTTTAAATTTAAAATAAATTAAATTAGATTTTAAATTCGACAAATCTATGTTCAATTACAGCTATAAAAATAATTTAAAACTATTATTGATCATTATTTAAAGCTTGGAATAAAATTATTCCAATTATTTCATTATAAAAATTTTCCTAATATTTATAATATATATATATATATACAACAATGAACATTTAATTAATTAATGATATCTAGTACAATTTAATTGTAAAAAAAACTATCTACTACCTTTTGAAAATTTTTCAACAAGGTAATTAATGTTGGAAATGTAAGTAAAAGCTTATGTAGGTCATTACATTTTGAGATATTAGATAGATAAATTTTAATCAATCCAACAGAGTCACTTTTTTCAATGAAACTCAGTTCAATGGCTGTAATTCAATATAGAATTGGCTGCAACACGACACGCCAAGTGTCATTATTGTCATCTAGAGAATTTTCGTTGGAAATATCAGTCTTATTTGTGTAGGTGTAAATAAAAGCGGTCAGTCTTATTTAGAGGCTGAACCGCTGGCATTGCAAACCACGCGTGTAATGGATAAAATTGAAGCAGTGCATAATTGTGCAATAATCGAATGCATTCTCAGTATGATCCAGCCACTAAATCGCGGCTTGAAGTTTTTTTTTAAATTTACTGCTTGCTAGCAACGAGTAACATGCACTTGCGGTTGGCATGGCGTGTGACTCGTAAACGAGAATGTTATGTCAATGAAACAAAAACAAAGACAAGAATGATTTAAAATGATATTGATCTGTGCTAAACGGTGGTTTCCAATACCTCTCGACTGATGATCGTTTGGGATGATGAAATGTAGGCGACATTCGTTGATGCTGGAGGTATTATCACGTTAGTGGTGATTACGTCTGAATGTTGAGATCCACCGGAAGATGTTGTTATCACATCCGATGCATTTACTGTTGGCCACGCATTTAGATTATTCATTGGTCCCATCAAAGGCGAATTGTTGCTTGACGGCACACTATCTGCTGAGCTTGATGCTCTTCGTCTCATTGACTCTTCGCTTGACGACTTTAATAGCTCTTTATCACGTTCTTCATCCCTAAACAGACATTGCATTATTTATTTAGCAAATAATCTATTATAACTGTTATAACATCATTCAATGATAATAGATATGATTCAGTCATCACTGATTTTATTTAATAAAAACTTTCATTAGAACAATTAATATTTGTTAAATAAATTATTTTGTTAGTGTTAAATGAATTATTTCTAAAAGATATTCATTCATGACTGTGTACATTAGTTGATGTGATTAATGCCTAGTAACAATTAATGTCTAAATGTCTGGAATGAGAAAATTGCATGTAACATGAAATTAATATTCAACTAACTGAAGCATATACTCACTTGATTTTGAGCATTATATATTTATCAGGAATCAAGCCTTCTCGTCCACCCACAGAACCACGCCACCAGTCATAACTAACTTGCATGTAAAGTGTCAGAGTGTCACCCTTCTTGAAACTTAGCTCTCTCTCAGATCTGGCATTAAAATCAAACTGTGCCGTTGCCTCTAGATTCTCCGATTCTGATGAATGAAAAAAAAAAAGAATATATATATATTAGAATCATCAATCAATTTCTTTTTCATCATACAGACACTACTTACCATCTTCAGATGGATACACTTCGGAATCCATGTCCTCTTGAACCTGATCTGTCGGTGAATCTCCAACGTCTCTGTGAAAGAAATTGATTTATGTAATCTAACGTCTTTCAAGTGTCAGTATATACCGTCAGAATTAATAAGATACATTTGCAATTTAGTAAAAAGTGTCTGATGGAATTTAAATAAAAACATTAATTAAATTCTTGGAATGAAATTAAATGAATTAATTAATTGGAAGTTATATCATTCATCACTTCTAATGTTTTTTTTTTTGGTGATTATTCGGAAGAAAGATTTTCTCTTATTAATTAAACATCAATTTTTTAAATCACCTAGATATCTTGAATGATGGATATACTTACGCATCATCAGGTTCTCTGCTAATGTATTTCTCATATTGAATTCCTCCGATATCATCAGGGAATATTTCCTCACAAAATGTGATGATATTCTTGATTAATTCATTCACTTGATTCTGATATTGTACTTGATCTTTATCTTCAGGAACTGGTACCAATGTTGGACCAAAACAAATAGCAAGATTATACGGATCCATCATATTTTCGTCTGAGAATTCTGAGAGATGATTCAGGAATGCAAATAAATAGCGCATCACTATAACTACTGGTCTTGGTAGACCTGAAATCAATTCTTTCATTTTCAGTACAAATTCCTGCTTTGACTCCAGCTGTGCCAATTCCATTAAGTGCTCAAAATAAATAGTTGGAAAAAGAGGTTCACGCAATTCTCTCAAGTACAACTTGAGAACTCCTGCCACGCTGTTAATATCTGATGCGTCTGTCACATCAGCAAGTGGATCTTCACCACGTTCAAACCACTCTCTGAAATTATTTATTTCAACTTGAGAGCCAGATACACGGAATATTCCCTGATGATGAAGTCCATATAAATTTATGACCCTGATGCAACTCTTCATAATTAATGGAATCTCTAAATTCGTACTCTCGAGGTATTCTTCCAATGAACCACCAAAAAGTTTGGGTTGACCGTTCATCTGAAGTCGTCCGATTCTTTTTCTGCGAGCTTGTTTTTGTTTGGAAGTGGTAATCGATGGATTTGGGCTACCATTGGATCCATCTTGTAGACATTGCCGTATATATTCTTGTTTTGCATCAAGTCGGGCAATTCTTGATGTTCCCAGGAGGTATTCTCTGAATTTCTACAGAAAAAAAATTTACCACAAATATCATAAAATGACTCGAATTTTTATTGAATAAAAGAGAAATATTTTAAATTATCAGGTAAAAAATAAAAATGGTTAAATTTAAAAATATACCGTTAGATAAAATTCTTCGGTTTCCTGTCTGTCAGCACGTAATTTGATCTGCAAGGTCTCAGGTGGCCTGGACGTCGGTACAGAATTTTCACCAAAGTATCGTGAACAGTCATAGTCTTTAGCTGTAAGCATTTCTAAAAGACTTGCTTCAGCAGTTTCAAGTGTTTTCCAAACCTCCTCGGATTCAGTCCTAAGTGATGTCACACGCTGTTGAAGCTGAACCAATCTTTGCTCCATTTCAGAGTGAAGTATCTTTTGAAGCTCAGGCTCAGGGGTTTCGTCTCCACGTTGACATTGGAATTCAAATTTTTTCGGAATCATAAAAGCAGTATGATGGGACTCTAGAAAACGTTGTTTGTCTGCTCGTGAGTCTAAGGATCCAATACAAGATGCCAGCTGTTCAGCGCTTGATTGTAACGACCGTTGTCTTCCCTCTTCAGCACTACAGTGCATTAACAACGCTCGAGCAATACAATTGTGAAATCCGAAGTCCATACACTGCAAATTGGATACGAAGTCATCATAAATATTTTTTTAAGCAAAAAAAACCGATGAATAATGTTGTTATTCGTAACACACTGTGCAATAAAGAAATTTTAGATTCATATTTTTGCTTGTTTTATTACATTCAACAATTCAAGTCTCATTTTATCAATGAATTAATCAAAATATTTGACATTATTATATTTTTTATGAATAAAGTTCATATTTTCTTGATCCAGGATAATAATCAACCTTAGACAATCCTTTCAAGCGAGAAAAAAAATTAAATATTCTATTGCAAAGTGTTATCAAATATCAATATAAATTACATATTACATAAACAAATCACAACCACTGAAAAATAATATCAGCTATCAAGTTTTGTCTCTATTTATTTAAAACTTACTGAATAGTTGAACTTACATCGATCAAATCAGACAGATCATCAACGAAATATTTGTGAATTGTTGTGTTTGACGCTTCTAAACACAATATATATTCGTTTCTAGCTTTCAGTGCTTTGAGTTTAGCCTCTGTGTACTTGCTCTTCCTCTGAAATAAGACATAGACATTTAAGTTTTAATCATGCTTCAACAAGCCAGCTGCTAACTTAATGAATTGCCCGTCCTGATAGCGTGCGATTACTAATTGACTCAGTTAATTTCACTGAGAGCTTTGCAATCTCTTCACCTATCATTTGACAGCTGTTTTACGCTCAATGCAAACATATTTTCCTATAACATGATATTACTTACAAGTAATGGACAGTAATCACGAGATATTTCAAAAATTAAACTTATATCCTGGTTTTTTTTTTTTCAAACTGATAATAGTCAACGAATCGCGAAGAGAATAACTGAGAATCGTGATAGATAAGGGAGAATGTTTATCAAAATATTTGTGTTAAGTTTTATCTGTTGGAGATGTTTAATTACAGTTTGACCATTTGAGTTATTTATTTAGAAAATATTTTTTTTTAAACATCACTGAGCAGAAGAAAGAAAAATTTGTATTAATTTTAATGATAAGATATATATTTAAAATTGGAATAATTGTGAAGAAATTTATTTATCTTTTTTTTTTTTCTACGGAAAAAGAAATAAGGTGAATGACTTGAGCTAGATTTTAATTTAACTTTTTTTAATAGAATATTAATGATAAAATTTTATTTTCTATTAAAAATTGTAAATTAAAAGTTTTATATTTGAATTTTATATCGACTTTTCTCATTAAATTTATTCTAAAAATATGAATATTTCAAGAAGAGTATTAATAACTTTAAAAATTACATTTTAATAGAACACTGAAAATAAGAGTTTTTAAAATATTTTTTTTTCACATTTAAAAAAATTTTTACATGTTAATATTTAATAATAGATGAACAGCCATTGAAAAAAATATTTCAAATAACTACCAGTCTTTGAAAAAATAAGTCATTCTGCAATTAGCATCTCAATTATTGTCTTATTTTTATTTATATAAATTATATGTATTTATTTAGATTAAATAGCTTGAATATATGCTGAAGAATAAAGAAATTGACTTTAATTTAGTAAATAATAAAGATAAATTCTATCAAAAATAGACATCATCATCAACATATCTGACATAAAGATTAGAGCAGTTAACCCACAAAAAAAACGATGTCCACTGATTAAAATGTATATTTCATGAAGCAATTATTCTTACTAATTTAACCCCATAAAAGTGTACCTAACTAATAAAAAATTCAACCAAAAAAAATTCCACATCTTGACCTATCTCCCTCTCTACTTTGGGACAGATTTCTTTCATGTCCTTGGAGCCATATAGCTTGAAGAAAAGTAAAACATTGTAAAGAGATACGAAGCATTAAAGTGCTCTTCATAACGAAGCATCTTATGTTGTGTTTCATCGCTCTAGGGGAGTGCGCGCGTGCGTTAATCATTCCTCCGGTCTCTTCATCTTCATCTCTTCAGACCACATGTCTCAGCATTAGCTTTAGCTCACTGGAGAACAAACCACAGTTGTTTATTTTTCACTGAATATTCGGTAGTAGAAAAAAAAGGCAGCTTAAATCTCTGGACGTCTGCTTAGTGGCTCATTATGATAAGAAAAAAAAGAGATAAAAATGAGTAGAGTCAGTTGAGGAGAAAAAAAAATTGTAAAAGAAATGTTTAAAATACGAGGCGCCTTTATGTAGAATTATATGTCATGTAGAATCGTTTATGCCATGTAACCCTTCAAGTTGGCGCAGTTACAGTAATTGGATCACTACAGTGTCATTCACTAAGACAAAGAGCACTGAATAACATCAGTTAGAACTACATAGAGTGAGAAACACTAGTAAAAAGTGACCACCACAACAATTGGCAAGTTCGTGACGCAAATACTTAATTCGGACATCCTGTGGTTGCCCTGAATATTTTCCGTGCCAACAAGCTTTTTTTATTTATCCTCTCAACCCCTGGCCTTATTTCCTTCTGAATAATACCTAGCTTTAAAATCCATCAAAAACTCAAGAATGTTGAAAAATTTTTTTCTTTCAAAAGAATTCATGAAGATGATCTTGGTGAAGCTTAAGGAATTAACACTCCCATTGTGCGCGATTCAAATCTATTCTAGCCCTAGTTTATTTAACCAATGTTGCTTCATACTACGCCTTCTGACCAATCAAAAACACTCGAGTATGAATCTCAGTCTATTCATTTATTAAATCACTAAAGACTTGTTTTTACTTTTCATTTATTTTAAGGCATTTTAATTTGTTTATTCCAATTAATGCTGATGCTTCTTATTAAATATTATTATTCCAAATAGAAAAATTATTTTTGACTTTAAAATGTAGGAAAAATATACATTAATCATTTTGGAGCAAAATACAGCTATTATTTCACTAGCAAATTACTTTTTGTGCATGTAAAATAAAAGATCCTTGAATTTTCACATTTTTTTTAAGGCGAAAGAATGAATAAATTAATTAGTAATATCGATTTTCAATACCTAAAACGAAGTTTTATGCGATAAATTAGATTTTCGTGTTACTACAATAGACGAGAATCCACTTGAAAGTGTTTGTTTTCAACCTCATACAAAAAGTATTTTTATTCCCAGCATCGTGATAAAATATTGGACACATTTTTTTAGCTCTATTCAATAGGAAATTTTTTTGACACACGATCTACGATTATTTGAATTTGTTGAATTGATCTATAGATGTGCGAATTTCGTTAGTCCAATCGATTTTAACCACATCACCACAGGCGTTCGACCTTTCCAGGGTCAAGGGCCATCGCAACATCTCCCTATCATCAATTCTCCCTCGTCTACTCTAACAATCAGTATAACGATAAGTGAAGAGAAGCGTTGCTGTCAATCTTCCATTATTCAGGCACAAAAGCTTTTTTCCATTTCTTTCATTTCTCTTGTTTCCATTACTAATACATTATTTCCGTCTTGCTTTTGACAAAACATCCAAATCCTCTTTACAAACCTTGTTCACTTCCTTTTCAATGAGTTTATATTTTTTGCTTCGCTGTAACTTTTCTGGTGCTGCATTCGTGACTTCAAGTTTACTTCGCTGCTGCTCTGCAACTCGTAATTTTGTCTCAGCTTGTCGTGACTCTGCTTGATAAGCTTGGTAGGTTTTCATGGTTGTATGAAGCTCGTGAAGTACTCTCAAAATTTCCTCGTGTGTTTCATACCCAATTTCGCGACACTGTAATTTTAATAATGAAATATAATTTAACAATGTTATAATAAATCATGTTATTATTATCTTTTCTTTTATTTCAAATAAAAAAAACTGTTCATGCAATTTTATACACTATATCTTTGGATGCTACATAATAATTATAAGAATGTTTAAAAAATTTTAAAGCTTTGAAAAATTATTAAATTGAAAGAAATTAATTTTTTATAACTAACTGTTCTATAAATATCATGTATCATTAGACAGAAATAAATATTTGTAATTATTATTTTTCTAAAGATGATAGTTTGACAAATAAGCTGATAAAACATGTAGATTAAAGTCATTACATTGTTGACAATGAACAACAAAGCAACAATTTAAGAAAAGTACTCAAGGTTTAATTAGAAATGTGTCTGGATGTTATAATGAAATAATTTAGTTAATTAGTCAAATAATCCACTTCAATAAAATAATTAAATTAACAACATAGTATATTATATACATACACGTCTGTATATACGCTGAACATCCTCCATAACTTGATTAAGTCTACCAACAAGATGAGTACTGTATACTTCAGAAAGCGCAGCATGATCCCTGCTCAAAGATTTAGTCTCATTGACGAGTTGTTGCCAGCAGGCATAACTAGAAAATAGCGGCCACTGCTCCCTCCTAATAAACAGACGTGTGAAAAAAATATTTTTAAAAGGGGAGAACGAAGTTGATCCTACTTCAATATATCATAATATATAAAGGGTGTGGTGGAGAGTATGCTTTTGATAAAAAAGGAAGCCTTTGAAGAAGCCTTAAAAAATATTATTTATTATATATAGAATAAATTACTTTTGCTTTTGCTCCTTATGCCTCATCTGGATGCTCCTTGCCATTTTATCAAGTGACTTGCTGTAATCGAGCTCTAGTTCCGCTCTTCTGCGGAAAAAGTCTTGTAACTCGGCTACCAGGGCCACCTGGGACTCCATCCGCACATCTAGACATCTCAGCTGTTCATTTAGCTGCAGTCTTATATCTATAACATCAAATAAAAAGCATTTGCATTAGAGTTTTTCCATCAATTTTAAATTAAATTAAATTTTATATTGTTATTAAAAATCTAATAATCATAAATAATTACTTAATTTTTTATGGTAAAAATGATAGAGTAAACTGGCATGTAAATATTGTGAAGTTTTAGATATGAATGTGAGAATAATGCAAACGTGTTAGGAGTGAATATCAATATTGAATTGCTTGCATGACAGCAAACTGTTAAGAACTACTAGATGTCATATCAGTAAAGCAATCTTATTAAGAAGTGTATAATATTATTCCTCTTGTTTTCTTTCATTTTTATTACAATTATATTGAATAAATGATTAAATCAAAGATCATATGACTATGAAATAAACTACAATAAAGTGGTTATCAGCTGTCTACAATCATAGAGTAATAAACCCTTCATTTAGCACAATTAAAATACAAATTTTGTCTTGTACTTTTTGAGATAAATAATCTCATAAAAAAAGTCATGAATAACTTTTTGAAAGTACAATAAAAACGTCTGCCTCTTTTCTAGAAAGCTTTTTTCTACCCTCAGGGTTTATTTTGCTCCAATTTTATTAAAATGTTTTTTTACTTCACCAAAAACAGCTTTCTTTGATTTATAAATTGTAATTCATATCTGAAAGAATGAACGTTTTGATAATAAATCATCTAAACGTGATTGGTATGATAGAAAATGAAGAAAAACTTGGTCAACATCAATTGCCCTAAACTGAATCCAAGTTGAGCTACTCAAGTCTATCATCAAAGCTATCAAAGCTCATGAAACAAGAAATAAACTTGAGCTTTAATGTTAAATTTTCAACATACATCGTTCCATCAATTGATATGATTAACAGTTATGGAGATAAAACTCTGAATAAAAAAGATGAAAAAGGAAATTTTTGATGGTATCGAAAAAGTTGGTGGCGTAACAAGACCTACAAAAAAGTTAATTTCCGTTAAAGAGGCGTTTCGAGTGCCACACATGTACACATATACCAGTCTCTGCAGATGGCATGTCCATCACATATACCCATACATTTAGTCAATATTAGCTGACAATGAAATTATTCCAAGCCTGTATGACAAAAGTACATAAATACTTAGCTGAACATAAGAACCTTTTCTAATAAAACCAACAAGATGGATCTAAATTCTAACTGGTAAAACAAATAAATGATTCTATAAATAATTTTATAAATAGACCAAAATTTGAGATGTTTCTAAAATTAACTTTTATCATTGACTTGTAATGATAATACTAGGGTTTATTTCATTCATTCCCAGGTGTATTAAATAGCAACGAAAATAAAACCAAGTAATTCATATCCTACCGAGCATACAAAGTAATATAAAAAAAAGGGGAATATCGAATCTATCGCTGCATTTATCCAACAACCAACTTCCGCTTGACTAACGGAATAATAATGCGCCGTCAGCCGGCATCAAAGCAACAAAAGGGGCAATGAACAACCAACAACGTCTGCTGCCGCTGGACTACTGTCTCTTCTCTCAATACCTCATTTTTTTTAAACTTTTGCTCTACACTTCATATACACACTTATATGTGAGTACTCCTTTCCTTTTTCCTCAACACTTGTGTCTCAAGACTTGAGACACTTAAATTTCTAAAATGAATCCATAAAACTCGGGTATTTCTCAAGAACCACAGGGTCTTTCCGGGCATCTATTTATACAGCAGACTTATTTTTTTCGGAAAGTTAGTCTATTTTTTTTTGCCTTGTTTATTTAATTATCAACATAAACATGATGGATATATTTTTTTTTTATTTGTTTGGTGACTTCCTGAACATTTTCCATCAGCTTCTTCCATTGTTATGATTGGAATTAGACGTTATTATTTATTGAATGTTTTCATTCTGCTTATCGGATACTGAAAAGTAAAATATTTAAGTTGAGTCTTCAGTATTTGAACTGAACTGACTAAATATTTGAATGTGATAATTGAACATGGAGTAAAATATAGAATTACTTGAAATGAATGAATGGAAATGTTATTGATTTAAATATGAATGAAGATGATTTAATTATATATTTTTTAAATTGTCTAGTTAATTTATTAATTAAATTAAATATTTATCCATTTATTTGTTTATTTTAATCAAAGTAAAAATATTCGAGCATTGATTAATGATGATATTTAATTTATAATTTATTTTTTCTAGTTTAATCAAAAAAGAAAACATTTTTTGTCCTATTTTTATATGATTACTAATCGGTCATGCAACAAAACCACAACTTTTTAGATGTTTTCTTTTCAACGATACTTTGTTACAGGAAGCTAATAAATCTAATGTATTATTAATTTAATATTATCCAACTAAATAAAAAATTTACTCTTTCTCTTTTCTCCAACTATTTTTATTTTTTAAAATAATTTTTATTGTCATGTACAAAAAAAAAATTAATTACTTGAAAGTTTGTGGTAAAAAGTGTTAAATATTTAAATGAAAATTTCCAATCATCAAGCAATTTTATATTCATGACTCATTGAAAAGAAAAAACAAAAATGGGTCAGACGAATTTCCTAATAATTGAAATACGTAATTTTGTCATTTTAATCGAAAATTAAAAATATTTCTTTTATGCATAAAACAAAAAAATAGTTGATAAATTTTAACTCCAAAATTTGTTAGAAAATATTCCATTTTTATCATTAACAAACAAACACTTGAAGAATTCAGTGATAAAGTATTTTAATTATCAACAAAAAAAAATGATAATGTAGTATTGCAAAAAGTATTCTAACAACAGCAGGCATCTGAACAATGTCTCCATAGAATTACAAAGCATACAATGCACATATGCGACGAACCATGTAACCGAGCTGGAATAAATATTACCCAAAAATATATATATACATATCCATATGATAGCCAGCTAACTGAAAAGGGTTGGATCAGCGGGAGGAGTTTAAACACAACCACCAGCTTAACATGTAGAAAAGAAATGAAGGGGGATCTCCAAAGCCATCATGAAAAACTCGTCTTTTCGGAATGGTAGTATATAACATCAGCATCAAACATGGTTCATAGCTTGTTATTTAGCTGAGATCCCACGTGGAAATCACTTAGATTCCTTTTTTACTTTTTCTTCTCTTACATTTTTTACCACACACATTCATTTAAATGTTCATCTTTGCTTGTGTCTTTCCTCTTTCTCCACACTCATTTGCTCTCTTTTTACACCCACACATCATTTGAACATAAAGGAAGAGAAAATGTGTCATCTACTTCTCCTCCCTTTCTTCCTTCTTCTAGTTTTTTTCCTCTTCCTCTTTCTTTCTTTTTTTTTTACCCCTTTTTAAACGTAATTCCATCCGCTCTGGAGATCATTCAAGGACTGTTACAGAGAATAAAGCACTGAAAATTCCTATTCTTCATCTCCATTTCATACAAAGATGTTTGTTGGTCATCATTGTCATCAGCATGATGATGATCGTTATCATCTGGATACCAAATGTCATCAACCTTCATCACTTTATCAGTTTCATTGCTTTAAAATAATTCTCTGACTCTGACAGAAATAGGACAAAGACAATAAATTGTTATTTGAAAAGAAAGTCAATATCTCTTATATGTTGTAGCTTCAAATACTAGAGTTATCGATTTCTTTCTTTCTGCTAACAAGTAAGCTACGAAATAAACCTATGATTCATCATGTATTTAGGAGTTTGGAGCAACAACCCTCGATGGTAGGAGTAATCTTAGTCAATCAAGGGTACATTTTAGGCTGAAATTCTCTCTTTTTTCTTTGTTATGGGTAGAACTTTGTTGGAGGAAACCTTTGACCTCTTTTAGTTTGGCTCAATCTGTGATGAGTAATGTTAGAGAGCAAAATTTCGGTTGGCTTGAAATATAATCTGCTTTGTGAGGTTTAGATTAAAGTTTTTTTTTTACTTTTGTAATTATATTGAAAGTTTGAAGTACTTACAATGGTTGTTGAAACATGTAGAATGCTTAGAATAGTCTTTTTTAATTTTAATTTTAAAAACTGCATGAATTTTTTATTTTCTAAAAATAAAATCTTTATTATTAAAATGAACAAGAAGACCTCAACCTAGATTAAAAAATATCTATTCTTTAATTTATTTACTTTATTTATAATCTGCCATTTTGAAATAAATAAAAAATACTTTTAACAATTTGTAATAATAATTATTTAATTATTACTTCATTAAAATATGTATAACATTTTTTTTTCTAAGAAAGAAGAGTTTTATTTTATTTTTAGAATTTTTAGGCCATTTGGTAACTGTCAAAAAGTTTCCCAATCATTTTTATAGCCAACATAACCTATTCGAAAATGGATTAAACAACTTCAAAATGGCTAATTTCCTTCAATAAAGCCAGCTATAATAATTTTATAGTGAACATTAAAAGAAAAAAATTACACTCAACCTATCCTGCATCATTTCAAATCCACACATTCGGGGAAAATGATGTATATCACAATACATAAAACCTGCACACATTTATGTCTGAAACTTTAGCAGCATTTATCTCAAAAATAAGTGATTTTACGCTGAAAGTAGTAATAACATTTTTATAGGGCATTTAGTGCTCCACAAAAAAGGTCTCGTGCTTTTATTAAATACTTTCCATCTATTCCAAGGAAATAACGTATTTCTATCTCCAGACCCATTCAATAAAAAAAACTCTTCAAGCTAAAAATAAAATCGTGAATAAATTGAGTCGGCAATTTTTACCTGAAACAAAACAATACCCATCATCATAAGACTTTTATTTTTGTTTAATTTAACAAAATTTTTTTACACATACCCAAAAACAATCATCACAAATCTTCGTTATCGACAGAACAATTGAGTTAATCTAGGTTATAAGTAAACATTGACGAATGTCTGAATGAATTAGAGAAACCAGACAATCGATAGCTATTGATGATTTAAAAAGTTTCCTTCCGACGTGTTTACTTGTTCTCATTGTCATTCGGTGCTTGACAATTTGCAATTCCAACTGCTTTCATGATAACAATCTTTAGTGATTCATCACAGGCTTCTTCTATCATGTTTTGCTACATCCAAAGCCTCTAGTCAATGTGTGTAGCCAATAAGATGGTTGAAATGGTTTATTCATGATTTTTTTTTTCATCATCATCATCATTTTCTTTTTCTCGTTCTTTCGCTTAATATGAAGGATACGCGATGCTATCAAACACCAAAGTCTGGACCCTTATGTATTCCTCATTCTCTACCTTTTTGTGAATGTTCTCATCCACAAAATTCTGATAATCCGTTCAGACCGTTCTTTCTATGCCTCATAAACAGTCTAGACTACCGAAAGACATACTTTGAAAGTATAATCTTTCGTTTTCCGTGTATTCCATTCAAACGGAATCATGAAACTGTCGAGTTAATGCAATACACCAGCCAAAAGAAATAACACTAACTAAAAATAATTTATCTAAAACCAACACAAAGTGTTTTTGATTGCATAAAAACATTTTAAATTCTTCTTTAGTTCTGGTTTTATTATTTTTTTTTTTGCTGCTTTCACACCTACTCATTTCCTTCAATTGTGTAATTTGTAAAAATTGTGGGGTTTATTGCTTGAAATATGACATTTATATTACTCCATTCAATACAAATTTTTTTTTTTTGAATTTCTTCTTTTTCAATTCGGTGAATATCAAAGGAATAGTTGAAAGAGAATTTTAGATAAAAATTATTATGGCGTTGATAATTAAAGGGTGAGTCCTTTGGGTTATTGATGTTGGTAATTTAGCTTTTTGAGCAGTGAAGTAGTTTTTTTTTTCTAACCCCACTGACATTTTGTGCTATTCTGATGATTAAAAGGGTAACTCTATGTCGTATAAGCTTTCATAGAAATCTAGGTGGGTGATAGATAAAAAAAAGTTAATGGCTATACATGAGGTACCACCTGAAAGTCGAGTTTGAAACAGCTATGCTGTGCTGATGGCTTTGGAGATCATCTAGCGATGTTTTTAAATTTAAAATAAAATTATAAAACAGATGATCAAAATTACTGAGTAGATAAGTAATATAATTAAGTAATTTTACTTGAATTTTTTTTGTTAATTTAAAAATACTAAATTGTTTAAATAAAATATTGACTATTGTTGAAATTTTATTTATTCACGTTCGAAACATGAATAAAGTTAGAAAATACTTCTGTACTCTAGAGATAGCTATGGTTACTAATGGATTTATCCACGGTCTTTATAATATAAAAGGATAATTCACTATATATTCTGCACCATGAAGATTAGATACATTTTATTTCAATATCATTATAGTGTAAAGCAAAAAATACGATATGCTTGGTGGAAAGTACCAGTTGGATTGAAAGAAAAAAATTCATAAACCGTTTGACGACTATTTTAATAAATTATTTTCAGTAATAAATAAAAGATAAACATCAGCAAATAATATTTTGCTAAATAATGTTGAAAAAACTATTCCTTTAAACTATTTTAGAGTCTAATTTCAATAGTACTAAAAATAAAAATGATTTGATTTATTTAAAATCATAAAGTACTCGTTTACAAATACTTGTGAAAATGTATTGTCATTCAAATTAATAATATTTGAATTTATCCCATTCTTATTCTTCCTTATTGTTGTACTAAATTTCACTATAAATATCCTTATATAAATTTTTCTGTCTAATAATGGTACTCGAACAATTCTCTTCATCAGCATTAAATAAAAACATTAGTCTCATTGCCTCAACGCTTTCGCAGAAAATTAAGTTAGAAATGTAATTCTTAATTCAAATTACTCATAAACTAGTCTCTAACAAATGTTTAGATGTGATTTACGCTTCGCGACTTGACTTAATAACTCCTAAAGTGGAATGCAATTTACTAAAATGAAAAAAAAAATAATAATAAAACCCTAACTAAAACAAGTCTATTTATATTTCTCACTATTAAGAAATTCACCACGTATTTTTCCTAAACACCAACAACAAAAAAAAAAGAACGCATAAATTTAACACGTTTATATAATACCTTTCGTCCATGCCTCTTTTTCTTGCCTGGCAGACGATAGTTTGAACATTTTATATTATCTTATTCCTTTTTTTCGAATCTTTTTTTCCAATCACGATCCAACGTCTTATACACCTCCCGTCGCTCAATCACACTCCTCGTCACTTTCAGACTCTTCCAAAGGTTTTTTATTTTCTCACACAATTCTCCACCACTACACACACTTATTTTTCCTTGCTATAATACTTTATAAAGTATTGAATTATTATGCAGCGTCAGGAGTGTCATCTAAAGTTTGTTAATTCCACCAAAGCTTTAACGTTCTTGTCGACATTGTTCTGTTGCCAATTTCTCAAGACTTTACGTCGCATTTCCGTCTTAAGGCATAGAGCCAAAAACTCACACAATTATAAATGAATTTAATAATCCACTGGAACATTATTATCGTCAAAGATATATCTAATACATCAACTTGAAAATTCAAATCATAAGTGCCACCATTTTTGATTTGTATTCCTTTGACATTGAGGTTATCTTAACGGACTTTTTAGCCATATTATTCCTACTGACAATCGGACGTACAAAAACACACGTAGTATCGATTGAAGATAATAAATTGGTTGTTTACAAGCTTTATAGTTGAGTTTTGTTGTGCTGAACGTGCTAATGCTCTCTTATTGCTCGAGGTCTTTTACGTTCTCCACCTGTAAACTCTACACTACACTCAAGATATCTGTCTGTATTGCATCTAGATGGTAAAATAACTCACTGATACTGACTCACTTCGCGAGAAAGGGGATTAACAAGGCACAAGAGAACGGACAAAATACGTCAAGACGCAAACGTGTACTTAAACATTCGAAGATCATTGGAGTTCTTGAAGGTATTAAGAGTTTTATTACTATTATGTGTAGATATATATATTTCTTCAATAAATTACACTTAATATTATTTATGATTATTATTTTTTATATTTTAACAATTAATTTTTGTGCTTACTGTTCAGTTAATCATTAAGATTAATTATGTTTGCTTTTGTTGGAATATTTATGACTAATTTTATTTGCTTTAACAAACAATCTAGACAATGTGACACTCGCCAACTGACTGATGTTTAGAAGAATAAGAGCCGTTTCTCGATGAGAATTAACCGCAATTACCGGACTCATACATTCGTACTAAATGAGTGTACTGGCTTGATAAATACAAGCAAAGAGAATTCAAGAGGAAAAGAAAATGAGGAAGAAAGAGAGAGAAGACTATTTTCGACAACCAATGGCTGCTGTAGATTGGAAATTTGCGACGAATGGAGTACAAGGTTTAAACGAAGCCGATTGAGAAATAGTGAACGAGCCGACAGCTCGAGTTTTTTTATTTTTTTATTTTTTCAATGGTAATAGACTTGTAATCGCACCGTTGAGACTAGATACTTGTTATATCGGTGTAGAAGTACTCAATAATTTTAAGGAAGAAAATGGAAAATTGTATATTGCAAAACATTACTGTTTATTGCTTTGAGGATATTTTTTGATGTTGTTTTGTTTTGTTATGAAATTTTATTTGATAAAATAATGTAAATAATTTATGTTATGAAGAAGAGAATGTTTTACAAAGTAGAGTTTATATCATAATTTATGGAAAAATATTTATTGTAGAAGTGTGTGATTGAAAAACCAGGTTTATTTTACTTCAATGACAGGAAAAAAACATTGTTTCATTTGCGGTGATGTGATGGTATTCATTAAAGTGAAATTATTAAGAAGAATGATTCAATAAAGGAATGTAATGTGGTTGGAGATAGAGATTAATTCTATGCATTTTTTTAGTTGTTGATAATTAATTAATCAATGAATGAATATCAACATATTTCTTAATGGAATATTATTGTTTATATGATGAATTTTTTTCATTTAATTCCTTTGCATTCTTTTGGAGATGAAGTGTTTTAATGATGAATTAAAATGATTTAGCTTTAAAAAAAATACTTAATAATTCAATGGTGTGACTATCGCTAAATATATAAACCACTAAATTATTGAATCATGTTTTATTTTAATATTTATAAATTGTAAGAAAATTCATTAATGAGTTAAAAAAAAAAAATTGTAATAAGGAGAACAATGGAGAAACACTGGTTACTCATTGTAATGATTTAGTTCTAATATTTCGATGAAATCAGAGGTATAATTATGACAATTACACTGAGATAATATTTTATTATGGAAAATGAACTTGTACATAGAAGAAAATATTTTATTTGAAAGAAAAAATAGTATAATAATCTTAGCTCCATTATAATGTATCATAGTTTCTAGTTTGTAATGTATATTTTATTTTGACATCAAGCTTAGTTTTAGAAATTAATTATCATTGATTTTCAAAATATATTCAAGTGTAAAAAAATTATTGGATATTAACTGTTATCTATGAACAAGTATTCATTTCTTAGTATAATCCTGTAAATATAAACTTGTAAAAAATGAAATTTCTCGAAGCATAATCAGAGCTACTTATCATAAATTATATTTGAATTTTTTAATTAATAATGATACAGTATCTATTGGTTATAAATGATTCTAACTAGATAAAATTCTGTTGATTTGTTACAGGTCACATAGTCCCAATCTCAACAATTCAATCAATTTGATCATAATCTCAAATATCCATTGAACAAATAGCTGAAATGATTGCCAAGATGAAAAAACAGTATCTACAGGATGATTTCAATGATGAATTGATGAGTGTTAGGGTGTGTTCAGTAATAAGTACGTAATTTAAAGCACTCGACTCAACTCGTGGGAGAATAAAAAGCAGACTTCTAATCAGATTAACTCGAAAGGTAATTATTCTTTGTTATTTATGTTAGAGACATATTGATGATACATTGACAGTGATAATAATCCAGGGATTGTCGACAGAGGCGCGAGAATTTTCATCAGATCGATCCGAATGACTGGAGGCAAGAACATGGAGATAGAGGAGGAGTAATTGGCGTTTGTGGCGCACCTAAATAATGTACAATGAAAGATAGGCAAGAGTGGGAATATGAAGTGAGGCAGGAATAGTTTAAATACGTCGAGAATATATGTACATATGTGCAGAGAGTTGAATAATAAACCTGGACGAGCAACGAGAAGAAAGAATAGAGGGCGGATTGATATGCAGCAGCATTTCTCGATCGACTTCCTTCCTGTTGGAATAATCGGGAAGGGGAAAAATGCTTTGAGCTCTCTTACCCAAGCTCTTTTACGCCTTCGGGCAACTCTCGCGAACCTTTCCAACTCGCTAAATTAATTCGATTGCGCACTGGATCGATCCTGACGAACAGACAAAAAAGTCACAAAGGAGATAAAACGACGTCACAATGAGAGAAAAGAAAATATAACTTTTTTTTATTGGCGAAATCGAAACCAACTTTTACACTGCCAGATAAAAAAGTCTACTTTTAAATGAAAATAAACTACTTCTGTTGGGAAGTTATGTTTGATTTCGAATTTCCCAATATGGATGTTTGATTTTAATTAAACATTTTATTTTTTCTACAGTATTTGATGACATTATAGTTTCAATTTAAATAAATTGACTCTTTAAAAATGTTTATTTAACGTTTCAAGTTGGTGGGAAATTATTTTTTATAATGATTCTTCAAGGTGAGATATTATATTTCCTTCTATTAAAAATTATTTCCGTATGATTAATCTATTCTAATAACCTTTCTTCATCTAAAAATACCATAGGCTCTTTGATGAATATTTTCTAATTGGATTATCTGCTTTTAGGTGTGGAAAATATTTTTTTATTATTAATATCAAAAAAGGTTAATCTTAATAAAAGGAATGTTACGTCAGAATGAATATTCATTTTAAAATACAAGTTCATGGCAAATGTTTCAAAAAAATATTCTTAACTACATCTGTAATAATATTTTTTTTAAAATTAATTGTTGGGTGTATTTTATTTATTTATATCAAGTAATCACACAAAGATTTGTATGATAATGATAATTATGTAGTTTTCTTAAGTTAGATTTTATAATAACTAATTCAAGTAGGTACTTATTTTGTTCAAGTACTTCTCATTAATTGAATTATTTACTTGAGAACAAAGTTTTTTTTTTGAAGTAAGTTATTTCAAGTGCACGACATAAAACACTAATTAAATTATAAAGCAACAGATATCTTTTACTGATATTTTTAAACTTTTACTCTATTTATAGTATCCATGTTCTTGCTAAAAAAAAATAGCATAAATAAAAAATTATTGTTTGATATCAAGATGAGTAGATTAAGAATATCAACTCCTCAATACTAGACAAAGTGTTGTGCTATGAACCCAAACAGCACTTTATCACTGAACTAAAGTCATTCTTTCTAATATTGTATTATTAAAATAAATAATATATAATATTTAATTTAAAAATAAATAGTAGATAATTTTAAAATAGTAGAATAAATAGTTAAAAATGTACTTTTAATTCAAATAGATTATTCTTTTCAATTTGTTGGATCCTTGATATGTAAATTAGATCCAAGGTTGATGTTATAAAAAAACTAATTCAATTATAATTGGTTCAAAGTCAAAAGAGCCATAATCTGCTATCCATAAATAAGAAAAAAAAATGACTGTCCAAAAAGGCCAATATTACTACTGATTAACATCATTATGTCTCCTTTTTAATTCATCAAAGTCTTGTTGGTTCGACCAAATAACGGGACAGACAAAATCCAGTTTGTTATTTCGGCTTTAACGATCAAGCATTACGTGTGTATAAATTCCCCAGTGTCCGACAGTTCGATTTTCATTAAATTGCCTTGTGTAGCTTGACAAAGGAACAATTTTAGTGATTAGTTGAGATGAAAAAAGGATTACGTTAAAAAGATTATTTAGTTGATCATGTAATAGAAGTAACATTTTAATGACATTTATCATCGCCTCGATTGTTATTTATAACCGACTAATTGACGGTCGTGTCTCATGTCGCATAACAATGGAAACCTTGCTTTAACTCTAAAACACTGCCGCTGATGTCGGTGATGACCAGTTAAGCGAATTTAGAAACTTCATTTTCACAAGCTAGACCCACGCTTTGCGTCAACTTTACTTAACTAATCCCTCCTCTTACTTCCTTCATCGACACTACTCAGAACTATTTATAAATGAAATTCAGGAGGACATAGTCAGTTTCAAGACTCATCTATCGTTTACTTTCCGGTATTAAATGTTTAAATTGACCATAAATATCTCACTTGATATTAAAGAAGCTTCTTTTTACTCCACCAATATTTTTTCTAGGTTTGTTCAATTATTATTATTATTATTTGTTAATATTATAAGGTTATTTATTTTATTATAATATAAATATTGAAAGTATTTTTTTTTTGTTTCAGGAAGTGAGAATGAGTTGGATGTTTATGAGTCATAATTCCAGATAATTTAATTGGAGTATCGCGAAAAAATTTTTATTTTCAAGTGAAAGTCAACTTCTTGTCATAAAAGCTTAATGATTGAAAGTTTTAAATAAAAACATGTGGATTTAATTGAATGATATATGAGAGTTGTTGAAGTACTTTTGTTATTAACTCGGTGAATTTTTTTTATTCTTATTGTTAAAAAAATATTAATTAGAATATTTTTAGTTATAAAACATTAAATTAAACAATAAGATAAATTTATTTGCTAATTTTATTTTATTTGTGATAACAAAAAAAAAGGAGTAGTTTATTACATTTTTATGGATTAAATGTGGATATAAAAAAAAAGAATTTAATTTTTAAATCGACCATATATTTTTAAATGGCTAATATATGATGGTAATTGTGCAGAATAACTAGTCCCTTGGGAAGAGGGTATGAGAAGCAGCATTTCACATATTAAATTCACTGCATGTTTTTCATTAAAATAAATTTATAGTATGCAGAATCTCTATAAGAGATAAATTATACTATTATCCATAAATTAATTAATATAATAAAATAATAATAAAAATTTAATAAATTAAAAGAAAATCTCTTTAAAGCAGATAAATGATAATAAACAATTAAATTTAGATGTAATCGAAATAATTATCAATTACATCCCAATTTAAAAAGTGTTTTATTAATAAATTTAAATATAAAAAATTACTTCATCTTGTTTAATGACTTTGTCAATGTATTCAAAGTACTTATTAACTTTTTCCATTTGTTAATAAGAAGGGTAAAAAATTAATTAATTACCCATTTCAATATTTCATTATAATTAATTCGATTTCATAAATTTCAAATAAAATGTCATTAATTAGCATAATTATAGTAATGTTAAAATATATTAGACATCATGAAAAATGTGTATTAATTAAAACTTGCAGTATATCTTTATTTTGTATAAAATATAACATCAATAAAAAAAATAATTTATTTAATCACGAGGATATATCGAAGCCTACAAAAGATCAGGTTTGCCTCTAATTAGTAAGCAAACCCTATTTATTTCTGTCCTTAATTGAATTTCCTCAATATACTCCAGAAACTTTCTATTAATTAGAATCTCAATATCTCTGATAGATATAAATACCATCAATAATCTATCATAAAACAAGTGTTTATTTGATTATTAGAACGTTGCTAATAAACTAAACATTTCCTAATTTCTTCTTATCAATAATTCTGATAGACTCTCGTACTTTTATTAGATTACATTAATATAATATTCAACATAAATTGTATTAACATGATATTAAATTGGCTTGCAGGGTAATTATTGATTTTACAAACATTTTAAGTAATCTCATTAATGATATTAATAAACATCTAAATATACAATTACATATTATTATTATAAATATGACTGTGAATCTAAATTTAATTATTATGCTATAGTTTTCTAATTAAATTCATTGTTTTATCTACTTAGCCTCAATTTTCAGCTGATTATTTTTGATAATGAGCTTATTATTCATCACTTACTAATATTTTATTGCAATGAAAAATTTAATATCTGCTCATGTATAAATAATAATAATAATAATTAATAATAAATAATAAAACTAAAGAAATAATTTCTAATGATATGTAAATACCTAATTATAAATAAAACATTTATTTCAAAATATTTATTTGTTTATTTAATTAAAAATATTTATTTTATTATTGTGATAATTATTATATTATTAAATCTAATGATTTAATTATTATTGTAAGTTAATTGGTGTGTTGATTTATATTATTTTCAATGTAATTTTGAAAATATTCGTACATTATCAAATAATCAATAATTTTATTAAAAAGTTTTCCAATAAATGAGACAAAATAGTAATATTTATGTTCCTTTCTATTGACTTGATAAAACTATTTCTTGAAAAAAGTTTATTGGTCAAAATTTATTTGAAGTCTGAAATGGAGCAGAAGTTGGATGGGAATTGATAGAAATATTTAAGTCGATTCTACATACTGTTTTCTTTCTTTTCTTTTAGAGAATTGAGGAATGAAAAATTTTTCAAATTATATGGAAATTTTATTTACATACAATATTCATGATTTCACTTATTCACTTCTTGGGTGAGTTAAGCAACACGCGATTTTCATATTATTATTTATTAAACTGGTTCATAAAGTACGAATACACTTGAACTGTTATTTTATATAATGTACAACAATCTAAATAATGTTCTTTCAAACTGATAAAGAAAATTATTTATTAAATGTTAATTACACTAGTGTAAATAAAACCAATAAAATCCTAGATAAATGACTGATAAAAGTGAGAATTTAAAATCAATTTATCTCTGATAAAACTTTTTTTTTTGTTTAAAAAAAAAAAAACTAGTTTTTGTTTGAATAATGATCACTATAAAATTTATGAACTATTAAAATTCAGAGCATTGGAGAAACAATGGATGAAAAAAAGCACGACTATTGTTTGTGAGGAAAAAATATCTTTGAAGTTCTAAAAATGTTTGATAGAACTTCCAAAAATATTTCCTAGAAATTTTTTCTCAAGTTTCCTGAGAGATCCATTTTCATTCCAAATTTAGAACAGTTCCTCAACTGAAAGACTTTTCTGAAATTCTTGTAGAAGCTTTATTTTACATTAGTAGTTATTTCATCAGAATAAATTCATTAAAATCAATCTATTTAACTTATTAATTAACAAATTATTATTATTTAATTAACCATTAGAATCATAGCATAACTAAAAAAATAAGGTTGACGTATTTTATAATTTTTTTTTTTTTTTAATTATTCAAACAATTTTTTTTATTCATTGTTTTTTTTTATTCACTAGTCGCAATATTTTTTTTAATTTTTTAATATGCAAAAAAAATTGTTTAAAAATGCATTTTTTAGGGTTTTTTCTTATTTTAATTTTCCAATATAAATAGTTATGTCATTTGTATAGATGTTAAAAGGCTTTATTGGTCTTTCACTCATAGCATATACAGAGAAAATTTTATAGTGATTTTTACTAGTCAATCTACTAGCGAAAAAAATTAAAAATTACTAGGTTTTTTTTATTTAGTAAAAATAGCTAAAAAACTTTGTAAAAATTCCTATTTTTATTGGTAGAAATTTTAAGAGAGATTTTTAGAAATAATAAGCAATAAAAAGTACTGTTCTGGTTGGTAAAAATTACCAAAATAAAATTTTTTACTATTGTTCTGTCAATAGATTGATGATCTTTTTTTAGCAAATCATTTTCACTTTTATTTAACAACTTTTTCCAGTCAAGAAAATTTATTCATAATTAATAAATTTCACTATGCAATAAAAATAATGAATTATTTTCATTGAATAAATTTTAATAAATAATTAAATTAACTGATGATTAATAAATCTTCTTCACAGTAAATTAAATCAAATATTTATTCATCAACACCTTCTCTTGCTAAAGTAAAAATCATCATTTAGAAAGAAAGAGTATCAAAGGAAATCCTAATCCAACTGTATTTTACTTTACTGTAATAATTATTCTTGAATAAAACAAAAATATTATCTCCAACAAATTAACTATAAATTATAAAAAACAACTCAAACAAAATCCCATTTAACAGAACTCTAATCACCTCCATCACCAATTAATCCCTTTTTTCGTCCAAACCACCTCTTTTTCTCCCATAATTCCAATTAAAATAAATAACCAAGTGTTTAAATTTATGCAAATACACCTCTCCTATCATCCAATCAACAAAAACATCCCATAAATAATAAAAAAAATAATCCACTGCTAATATACTCGCTTCAATTACATGAAAGACAAGACATACCCACCAACTAAGCAACATCAAAAAGATGAAAAAATCTGATAAATAAGTAACATGAAATAAATTTATCCTTACTCCAACTCCAACTATTTCAACTTGTAAATCTTTTTTCCAACAAGCTCATAAATAAAAACAACTATTTAAATAATCAAAAAAGATGCCTGATAGACTTGGTATTAATTAATTAGCAGTCCAATTTAGCTATATTCCTGATATATTAGTGTTGGCAGGAATGTTATGTGGCCCGTATTTCGCATTTAAAAAAAAACCCCTCGGTTGATTTCAAAACGTTGAGTCATGTGTACATATTCTACAACTTGTTATATACATACAAACGTTCAATTTACGGCTTCCTGCATTTACCGCGCGCACATCGCACAGAGTTTCACTCCCAACACGCGACTCGATCGAAACCTGCGAGAGTGTATAAAATAAACCTTAGCATCACAGGCTTTAATGTTTGTCTGTTGGTTGGAATTTTAAAATTATTTTTCTCTTTCAAACTCAACAAACTAGAGAGAAAAGAGAAACCTCAAGCTTGACATCCACAATGCTACACCAAGTCAAGTAGATATGTATTTAATAGCAGGATAAAAAAAAACACTGGTAGATTTGGATAAATATAAAAATACCTGGAAAGACATCCTTGGTGTCTGGACTGGATGGATGGATCCAACCATTTCTCTGCTGAATAATGCACTGGAACATGATTATCAAATCTTCACTGATGTCTAACAATCAACATAGAACTGATCAACCAACTTTTCCTTCAAACTCGTTCAACCTCTTCTTGATGTCGTGAAGATTAATCACATCCAGATCAAACGCACTAGTCACATGTTCACATCAAGGTCGAGCAGATGGATGGAAAGTAGAAAGCACTTTGCTAATCGTTTCTCAAGTGTCTTTAATGGTCATCGGGTCATCTTGCAGAAAGATCCAAGACCAATTAAACCATCAGACCAATTGAAGAGTTTAGTTGACCAAGTCATTGATGATTGGATGTTGATTTAATATAACATTTAAATAAATAATCAGTTCTTTGATGTTCTTTAAACCACCTGGACACTTGAAACCATGAAGATTAACTTGCCAAATATTGGAGAAATTGGTCGTGGGAGTGTCAATGGTATAGATGTAGGTGTGTTATACGTTGGAGAGACACGCGTTTTGATGCGATGTCGTTTCTACCACGATTCTCTGGTCCTTACTCTTTCGGAGGGTGTGCACGGGCTGCTGCCTCGGCCGGCTGGGATCGAACTAGATGGCTGGCTGGTCGCCAGGCAACCAGATTCACCTTCTCTTTCTTTCAATGTATTGCTTTCTTTATTTATCCACGTCGCACTCCCTCACTTCTCTTTGCTTAGATGCTTCTCCACTCCTACTACTCTCTTCCGGATTATATTATAAACTTGTATGTTAAGAGAAGATATGGCTTTTCCACCACCTTTTTTCCTTAGCTGCAGATTTCAACTATGATAGCTACAGAGCCATTGAGAATTAGCAGAAATGTTTTTACTTGTACACTTTGATTATTAATGTTCACATGGATCTATCAAAATCCATCAATTATTCGAGCCTTTTTGAAATTTAATATTGAAGTAATAAATGGTTTCAATTCTGTCGAGAATTCTTTTTAAAAAAATGAAAGTTTGAATACTATAAAAAAAAATGGGAATTGATGGATTGATTATGTAATAATTTGATGAATAAAATTTTTTTAATTAAAAAAAAATAAATAATGTTTATTTTTTAATCAAGTTCATTGTTCTTTTTTTTTTTAGGAAGAGGAGAAAATACTGCGTGACAAATTGCAATTTTTTTTATGTTTTATTGCGATGGTTATTTTTTGATAAATTTAAAATTGGAGTTGAAGGAATAATAAATAGTATCATGTGATATTTACATTGAGACTGGAATTAAATATGATATAAATCAAAAAATATTATGCTATAAATTGCAAATATATATTTTTTTTAATTTTTAAATAGAAGCTTTGATTGAAAAAATAATGATGATATTAATTGATAAAATTAGAAAACAATATTATTTATTATTATTATTAAATATTATTAGTATTTTTTTAGAGACATTTATCATAAGTGAATGAATTTTAAATTGTTATTTAAAAAAAAATAACATCGTTGGATATATATTATTGTATTTAATTGATAAAAAATATTAGTTACTATTATTAGTCAAGTTTTAATTGACAATTTATTAGTTTATTCAACTATTATTATTATTTAATCTGCTTTACGATTAAAACTATTATTAAAAACAAATTATTCTTCAATCCAATTTAAAATCATCAATAAAGTGTAATAAATTATCTTTATTACTCAAATCTAATTTAACCACATAAATGTAATAATAAATTTATACTAAAAAAAAAAATTATCTAACAATTATTAATGAACATTTTTTTTTTATCAAAATTAAATTCTTTTTCCATCGTAATAACACTATCAATATCACTATTTTATCACACAGGGTAATAAATCAGCTTTGCTCAATTAAAAAACTTCTAATTTTACTTCTAAACCATTTTTCAATATTAAACTTCAAAAGACTATTAAAACATTTTTTTTTTAACAACAAAAATAAATAATTAATAAATAAAAAAATTTTGAAAAATTAACAAATACTTGTGTAAGTGTTACTTTGTTACTAAAATAATCATGTGTATCATCAAAACTTCTCTAAAAACTTTACCACTATTTTTTTTTTTTTAAAAAAACTCAAAACCTTCACGACAAGCCTAAAGAAGCACTCGAGACCTTGTTCACTAGTGAAAAGAATAAATACTCGTAAGAAATAAGTCTTATTTCACTTGAACATGGTATAAAGGATGAGCACAAGAGTATAACAACCATGAGGAAGAGGCTTCTGAACCCAACTGACCACGCAGGAGAGCCGATTCCCCCTAGTGATCACAAAGAAAAAGAAGAGAGGGCAGGGAGAAGAGAGACGATACGATTTATTAACGTAGCGATGCGAGGAGAAGGAGATACTGATAACCCCGGTGGGATCGAGAGAGAGAGATAAGAATGGGGGAATATGGAAGGTGCACGCGATTTACAGATGGAGGGTAAGCATAAGAGGAGAGGGGAGGAGGACAATGCAATGGGGTTTTAGCAAAGAAGAAAAAGAAGAAGAAAGCAGAAGAGAAAATAAGGACGACAGGTAGAGGAAAAGGGAATCAATGGAGAACACTTTGATCCACTATCTTCTTCTTATGTTCGTTTAATTTATAATTCTCTTTCTTTTGTAGTGCCCTCGTGATTCAACCCTCTTTGCCATGACCGTGACTGTGACTCCTCTTCATGTATACATGTAGGTATAAGTACACGTTTATTTGCAACACATGCTAGTTACCAACACCTCGACATTACTACTCATGGGCTCTGAAGCTTACTCACTAGATAGATACTTGTGTTTTGCACGCCGTAACTGTGTACCAACCTCAACACACGCCATTGAATCAGAAGTTGTCACGCAAAGTCACCCTCTCTCGCCCTTTGGCTTGTTACTAATTTGGTCAACTATTTAGCTGGCTTTTTGCTGCTTGTTATGGATTTGCTCACGACCAACAACGCTTTTTCATACACGCACTTCATCCATTTAGATTAATTGCCATTCGGTCGAGTTAGATTTGAGGTTAGGTTGTACTCAAATTTTGACTTGAAAAACAGACAATTTGTTTCCACAGATTGCTCTGTGAAAAATAAATACTTTTTAACAATTCAGGTCTTAATCAAAAGACGAGACGTTTTTCTAGAATTACATACGCGTCTTTTTTTTTTTTTTTTAATAAATTTGTAATTATTGAAATAAATAAAAAACACGGAACAGGTCATTTGTCATTAAGTGTCATGGCTGACGCAGTTTTCATCAGCTGTTTATTTTAAAACCATTATTATAATTTTATCACTGCATTTTTTTTTTTAAAAAACTGTATATAACACTCTGTGCCATTTTTTTAGATCATTTATAATTATCGTTGGCATGAAAAAAACTAATAAATAAATTTGATTCTGTAAAGAAAAATTTGAGGTGATAACACCCCAATACAGCCTAGCCTTAACCTCACAATGTATGATTCTTTTTTCGTCTGAAAAAAATATATGTAATTCTACTTAAGGTCTAGATACCATATACGTCACTGAATGCATTGTAGGGTTAAGACCTCTTTTAGGCCTACATCTTTTAATTGATTTTTTTTTCTTCATTTTTTAATATTTATTTTTGATAGTGTTGATGGTGGTGATGGGTATTTTGAAAAATGAATATTTTTCTTTACTTTCAGGAGTGATAGAAAGTTCTAGGAACTTTTTTCATTCAGAAAGTTTGACTAGTAAATTTCTAAAAGTTTTTATCTCTCCATATTGTGAATTTTTGTTTTCAAATTTTTGTTATGAATTTTTTTGTCAGCTTTAATGCTTAGATAAAAGTTCAGAGGGAAAGATAATTTTTTTTTTTCCAATGGTATTGTTTAATTGCAATGGACTCTAAACATTTAATGATCATTGATGATTTAAATTGATTATAAATAGTAGAAGCTTGTTAATAATATTGAATTAATTTTTTTTGGCTGTTTATTGATAGACATTTTTTAACGAGCATCTAAATTATCTCAAACAGACCGAAATGAGGTGAATTTGATACGAATGAGAGTATCAGTATCGTCTTTCAAGATTTGAAGATGAGAACTTTTCTGATTGGAAATCTGGAAGATTATTTTTACGTCTGAGTGAGTTGAAAGTGGAATTTTAGTGCTATTTATTTTTGGCAAATGCAACTACATAATCATGCAATTCATTTTTAATTTAAATTTATAGATCAATATCATATTTAATATTTAAAATAAATATTTATATTTTAAATTAAGTATTATTTAAGAGTACTTAAGATGGTTGAATAATACTTTTAGAAGCATGTTTTATATAAATACCCGAACAAAAACAATTTCCATTGTAAAATCACTAATAAAAACTCACTGGGAATATTTTAAAATATAAAGGAAATTACAGCGACTACGAAGACGCCTCGAGCGTTAAGAAGAATCTGTCGAGAGAAAACTTTGTGCAGCAGATAATTGTTAATAGAAAGTACAAATGCAATAACCTCACATAAAATATTTTTCATCAACTAAAATTGAATCTTCAACGATTATTGTGCTGGAAATATTTCAACAATAATTTATAAAACAAACTTTTTAGGAACTTTTTTTACATCAAATTAATTGACAAAAGGACACATGAAAATAAATATAACATTAAAAAAAAATAATGAAATAGATTAATTAAGGATCAACAAAATTGCTGAATAACTGTGCAAAATTAATAAAATATAAATAATAAAAGAAAAAAGATTAATTTTAGTATAATTAATTCTGTTTATGAAACTGCAGTCGATCTTAATCCTAGGTTGTATTCAATCAAAATGAGGTTGATTAATCATTCCATCATAGCCAGAGAATCAATTTCAATTATAACAATGAAGAAACAAAAAAATCCTAGAATGGATGAAAACAATAAATAATAAAAATTAAAATATTCAATAGCTTCATTATTCTGCGATGAACTTTCATTTAATTTTAATATCCCAGCAAATTTTATTTCTCATTTCAGTAAAAAGCAAAGGAAGACAATAAAGAGCACGTTGGTGGGTTATAAATGAATGCTTTGAACTGACAATAACAAAATTAATAACAAAATGGAATAAATTGACTGGTTTTTATTTAATAGAAAGAAGTAAGAAAGTGATGAGTCTGGTGTACGTAGGAAAGTGGTCAAAAGCCAGGTGAATATAATGAATAAGTAGCATTGACTCAACTTGATGAAATGCCACAAGAATGAAAAAGAAAGAGAGAGAGAAAGCTAGTGTAATGATTATTTGCAATGTTCACTTGAACGATGAACACTGTAATCGAGCGTGGGATTGCCATGCAGACTAACCGGTGTTCATCGCATGAACTGCATTTTTCAAAGCCGAAGGGATACCTGATGTGCTTCGTGCATGGAGTATCTTCCGCTGTTTGTTCATGTCCAAAGGCGAAAAGAAAAGCCAACGAACGTGAGTCTGCATTGGGTTTAAGTTAACTTATTCTGAGTTTGCTCAAGTATTCAAAAATTCAATGTGTTTTTCTTATTTATTCTTTTCGACTGATTTCTACCTCTTTATCTTCACTTCTTCTTCTTCTTCGTATACAACTTGGGAAGGCACAGCCTTGACTCAATGAAACGTGGATTATGGGGTTGCCAGAAATGGAGATAAAGGAATGGCTGCATAATACAGTCTGTACAGTCTGGAAAATCTATTTATAATCATCATGGTATATGTTATGATGGCTATGGTGAATTCATTTAAGGTCTGGGCAAATTAAAAATAAATATTTTAAGATTTTTCGAAACAATTTTTTAGGTTTATTGAGTATTAATAACAACAGAAAAAAAAAAGAATAAAAAGTAATAAACTATTTTTAT